ACGAAATCTTTCTTTTATATATTACCACTATTGACATAACCACTCCTATGAATCCGGTTTTTATCTTGCTGTGCTAATGAGATGTGGCTACTTGGACCGATCCATGTATGCGCCTGGTCTTACGTTGTAACTGACTGACTGACTTTTTGACGCTTAAGAAACCATAATTGCTTGAACCTAATAATTTAAGTTCATAGAGTTACATTGTTTTATTCACTTACAGTCAGAAATGAAAGTTTTGATTATGAAAAATTATGTGATAAATAATTTTCCAATTATGTTCTAATCTAATAATTGAACTTTTTTTGTACAGACTTTTACAACCACTTATTCAACAAATGGTTGAACAATCTGGTGTAGATGTTAAAGCACTTCGTGCTTTCAGAGTGCTGAGACCACTTCGTCTTGTATCTGGTTTACCAAGTATGTAATGCATACATCTTTATTTATTTATTTTTGGTATCATACTTATCTTTCTGTACAACATGTTTACATTTTGAAACAATTAGTCTTTTAAATAAACAAAATATGTCAGAAATATGTAATATTCTCCTGCAAACTACTTCGAACAGATTGATCAAATATTAACTTGTTAAGAGATGTGTATGAGAAGAAAGGCAAACATTAAAAACTACAAAACTGTAGAGACTAAAATTAAAATCTCTATTATTGGGATGTTTTATTTTATTTATTTATTTGAACACATAAATATTGGTAAAAAGGGGCACCAGATACATATGCGCCACACAAATCTCATTTGATATGTGTGAGGGCTGTGATACTATCTAGGTACCAAACCGAAGCAGGTGACTTTCTTATGGGGCCACACCCGGAGCCTTCGACCTAAAGGTCTGATCCACAAGGCAGTGGAGCATCGTAAGGAAATGCATTCCCATGGTAGCCGGTGACCAACAATTGGTTCATACGCCATTTGTTCCCTCAGTATCTTGGAGCCAGCCCGTGTGCACCATTGGTTTGGAATGAGGGTTTTCCAACTCCCCTAGGTGAACTCTCCGTGTCCACCAACCCTGTTAAATCTCTGGACATTTGCTTCTTGTCCTCTCAATTCCGTAAACAACGCCCGTGGTGCAAGAAGGTAGTGAGTAGGACCTCCTTGATAGTGACTATATACGTGTGGCTATGTGAGAGCATTTGGATAGGGAGAGTGGACTCCCCACTCTCGGCCGTGTCAGGGCATTTATGGGCCGGATATGTTTAGTTTAAGTACAAATTGTTTTTAAACACACAATTGATGGAATATTTGAATTACTCCATGGCTAGAACTTTTGAAAACTTACTTATTTACCCTATACTACTTACATAGAAAATCAATCCTCTGACTTGTTTTAGTTGACTTTGAATAGGAGAAGATTAATGTCTGTCATTTATTCTCAATGAGGCAGTGAAATTTATTTTTTCTTTAGGTCACTTATTTGGATGCACAACCATTCTCTAACTTAAAAAAATCCTCCTCATAATTGTGTTTACACACATATGGAAACTGGTAAATACAATTGCATGTAATCCAATCATACACATTCTACTTAGGTTTTTCGTGAAACACTGAAATAATGACCTTGAATTTATGATATCGTTTATTGATAACTGAGTTAAAACTTCATCAAAACAAGGCTATTCGACTGAACTCTGAATGGAGGGGGGGAGATGACATATATTTTGGTTTCAAATGCTTTAGGTCAAGCAGATCTCAACATAATCCAGTCTTTAAATTTGTGAATTTTAACGGACATCTATTTTTTCATCAATGTTCCATCTAATAACTTCATATCATCTTTCATTAGTATCGATAGTAAAAACATGACCAATCCTTTATCAAACCTTGTTTGAACTGAACGTAACATTTAACATAGCTATTAAAATAAGGTTCTTTCGATAAAAATATATTTTGATTTGTATTTGTATTGATTGACGCAATTACTTACTCATTTACATACTCCTGTTACTCCCAATGAAGCATAGGCCGCCGGCCAACATTCTCCAACCCACTCTGTCCTGGGCCTTCCTTTCATGCTCTATCCAATTGTTGTTTATTCTTTACATACATGTCTCCATTTTTCAGTGTAATGTGTTCTTTGGTCTTTTTCTTCTCCTTTGGCCTTGAGGATTCCAAGTGAGGGCATGCCTTGGGACGAAATTGGGGATTAACGTAATAAACTAACTATAATCATAACAATAAAACAGAATGCTAAATAATAAAAATATTTTAGAAGTATTCAAAATAACTGACGGACATCTTAATAAAAAAAGGAATGAGATTTTGGCATACTGTTCATAAGTTAATTGTCTTTTTGTATCTAATATGAAGTATTTTAAACAAAGATGCATAGTTATTTGTAGTGGAATCCAAAACATGCGTTTCGTCCTATTTTGGACTCGTCAGTTAGATGTATCTGCATCCAAGAGTTGATGTTCACTCCGGAACTTCATTGATTGACAAGAGTTATTTTTTTGGTTATATATGTTCCGTTTTATAACTGTTTTATTTCACTAACTTCACACTTACCTTTTTTAACGATTGATCTCTGGAACAAATATGTATTAATTTTTATAGTTGAATTCATAAGTTGATCTATGCTAGATCACTACTAAAAACCTAATGTTCTAGCTTAAATCGTTACATAATTTCAACTATGGAAATTACTATAATCTCCACAAATCCCTATTCTGAAACTTTTTTCTCTTTTGATCTCTTCAATGAATAAATGCACTAAAGAGAATAATTACTGTCAGTCAGTCAGCAACAACGTAGAAATTCGTACATACATACATCAGTTTGAGTTGTCATACTACATTAGCACAGAAATACAATTTTCATTCAAATCTCATAATGGTAGAGGTAGTAAAAGTACAAGCAGTAATCGGAAACATTAGGATTTGAAGATGTTATTCAAGGAGTATAATCCAGTGAAATAAATTTGGAAATAGAAAAAAAAGGAATATGAGGAATTTAGAAGATTAGAATTTGAAAGGACACAAAAAGTGAGGGCACCTACGCCATTGTAAACGATTTTGAGTCATGTCATTTGAGGTCTCTAACCATCGGTCGAACATGAAATATTTCCCTCTATAAACAACCACTTAGAAACAAGTCTGATTTACATCTTGATAATCAAGATGTATTATTAAACAGAACGTTCCAGAAAGCATTCGAACAATCTTGATTTCTATCCATCCATCCATCCTATTGATTTAGAACCAATTTTATTTATTTATTTATTTTACCACATAGATATTGGTACAAGGAGGCACCAAATACATATGCGCCACACAAATCTCATTCGATATGTGTGAGGGCTGTGATACTTCCCGGCTGCCCAAACCGAAGCAGTTGGTTTTCTTAGGGGGCCACTCCTCGAGCCTTCGACCTGAAGGTCTGATCCACAAGGCAATGCAGCATCATAAGGAGATGCAGTCCCATGGTAGCTAGTGACCAATAATTGGTTCATACGCCATTTGTTCCTCAGTATCTTGGAGCCAGCCCATGTGCAACATTGGTTTAGAATCTGGTTAAAGCTCCGGACATTCGGTTTTCGTCCTCTCAACTTCGTAAACAACACCTCCGCCACGAGAAGGTAGTGAGTAGGACTTCCCTGGCAGGGGCTATATACGCGTGGCCATGTGAGAGAGAGCATTTGGAGAGGGAGAGCGGACTCTCCCCACTCTCGGCCGTACCAGGGCATTTGGAGGCTTAATAAGTAACAGATCATTTTATTATTATTATTTATATTATTCATAATTGTAGATGTTCCAATAGTTCGAATCTTATTATCCTGTCTCATAGTTACCAATAATTTAAATTTGAAAAATAAAAAAAATGCGTTACATACTTTTCAAATGATTATAATACACTATATTTTCATTTCTTTTATAGGTTTACAAGTTGTATTAAATTCTATAATGCGTGCTATGGTTCCACTCTTACATATTGCACTTTTAGTTATCTTTGTAATAATTATTTATGCAATTGTTGGTCTAGAACTATTTTCTGGTAAACTACATGCTACATGTTATGATTTTGTAACAGGTTAGTAATTATTGGTTACATTTTATGTGTTACTTAAATTTATTCAACTTAAGCTTAAAAAAGATAGTAATGAGAAATATAATATCAATATAGGGGTAGTGGAGATTATTAGGTTTTTGATTGAGATTATGAACAAAGTGATGTTAGACCACCGTTGGAAACCTGAAAGCACTGGATGGCCGTTTTGTTCTATTGCGGAATTCCTCAGCAGTGCGCATACACGGTCTCTCCTCACCAGATTCGAACCCAGGGCCTTCAGTCTTGCGCGCGAACGCTCAACCTACTGGACCACTGAGGCGGCCGGCTTCCAACGGTCTTAATATCTAACCTCAACCAATCCACGAAATTGCGCGACCATCTTCCATTGTACTGAGGTAGACACCTTTTTCTATTCGACACGGATTAGCTCCACTGGTCACGGCTTCTCACTAGAACTCTAAGAATTCCCTCACAAAGCTGGTCACCAGTGAGCACACTAACACCACTGGATGCCGGCTCAGTGGTCCAGTGGGTTAAGCGTTCGCACGCGAGACTGAAAGCCCTGGGTTCGAATCCCGCGAGCGGGATCAAGGATGCGCACTGCTGAGGAGTCGCACACTAGGACAAAACGGTCGTCCAGTGCTTCCAGGTTTCCAACGGTGGTCTAACATCAATTGGTTCATGATCTCAATCAAAAAAGATAATATCATCTGATTATTAGTACTATTCACATTATTATTGCTTGATTTAGAATACCTTCTGTTTATGCACCTGATTAACATTTTAGTCAAATTGAAGTGCTGTATAGAGCATGCATACCGGACGTTACACCGGTATAGGAATGGGATATTCAAAGGAAATACAGTACTCTTGAATTGAGACGTAGATAATCACAGTCTGTACTAAAAATTATCTGTATCTTAAATCATATTATCCTTATTATTGATTAAGAAAAATTCTTATTGTTTAATTCAAGGTGAAATAGAGGATAATCCATCACCATGCAGTTTAAATCAACGTGGTGCATTGTGTACAGGTTCAACAATTTGTTATGATTTTAAATTGGATATGAGTTATGCAGCTGTTGCTGAAAGAAAACAACAAGCTGAAGCTATTTTAGCTGGAAATATTACACCACCTTTACCGCAACCAGAAAGATGGGTTGGACCAAATTATGGTATAACTAATTTTGATAATTTTGGTTTATCTATGCTAACTGTATTTCAATGTATTACTATGGAAGGTTGGACACAAGTTTTATACTGGGTTAGTTGTTTTATTTTATTTTATTTTTTAAAATTATTTATTTCATCACTACCATTTATATGTAGTTATTCTTTTGTATTCTGGAGGTATTGTGTTTTTATCTAAGCTGATTGACTTTTATTGATTGTTGTTTCACTGACAATTACCTGGAGAATCATCTTACAGTACTGGCTAAGGTATAGTAGTTTTTAGAACTATGATAATGACATACATTGGTAACTGGATTTGTTGGACAATGTTAATTACTTGTAAATGCTTTCGTATTTGCACTGATTTCAATTTAAGCATATATATGAGATTATGACTATTTTTTTTAAGTAAAGCGTCTTAGAAAACAAAACTCCATCAAAATCATCCACCTGAGCTACAAATCTTCTCCATCACACTAATTTGATATCGTCAAAATAATTTAATTGTCGAATTCATGAGTCAATTGAAGCTAGACCACCATGAAAAATATGAAAGCGCTAGACGGCCGTTTCATTCTAGTATAGCACTTCTCAACAGTGCGCATCCACGATACCGCCTCGCGAGATTTGAAACCTGGTTCTATCAGTCTCGCGCGCGAACTCTTAACCTCTAGACCACTGGATGGTATCCAACGGTGTGAATGTCTAAATTCAACCAATCCATGAAATTACGCCACCGTCCATCATTGTCTTCAGTGAGTTACTATCTCAAAACAGACCCGGTTGGACTCCACAGGTCACTTCTTCTCACTAGAACTCCAGGAAATACCTCTTGGAGACCATCAGCCTATGATAATTATAATCAGAGAGGGGTTTTGTGGATATTGTAATAATTTAATAGTTGAATACATGGTTATATGTAGAATCATATTATAACAAGTAATTGATACAAATAACTAGAAATATGTGTATAGCATATTATTTCTGAATTTATTTTTCATATCAGACATAAATAGTGTCGTTGGTATGATGTTTACTTTTATTCTTGGTATTCCCTCATTAAATTCCTCATGGTGTATTGATATAAAGTATTTGCAACTTATATCTATATGAATTTCTTCCGGATCTTACATTGTTTATGATTGACTGTATACATGTAATGCGGTGTGGGTTACTTATATCCACACAAGTAGTATATAACGGTGGTCAGACATATAGAATGTATTTCAGTCTAAGATCGAGAAGGAAAGAATGGGAACGCAATGCAATTGGTATGAAAACGTATGAACAATGAAATCTGAGACAATGGATTGAAGTTTGCAACAGGAACAGTCAAATTTGATATGATGGATTGATATTTTGCAAATTATCTATTTACTCAATGGATCTTAGATTTTAGTGGGATGCTTTGTAATTTTGTGCTCAATTACATTCGATTGTACCCCTCGTCTTGTTGTCCACTGCAGTAACTGTCTACTTGATGATTTCATATTTAATCATAATTTTCTCTTACTCTTCATTAAGAGCTTTGTGTTAGATCTAATTTTGTCTGGTACTAAATGCTTTAAACTTTTAAAAGTGATAGTCATTTTGTTAAATATTTAAGTAATTAGCTTAAGCTGATCAAATTTCTGTCAAAAACATCAACAATGAACAATCCAAATCAGTTTAAATTGAATTAAAACTCATACACGTTTACAAGTGAATGGCTATCTGGAATTAGTGGTTAAGTTCATAATTCAGTGGCTTTTTAAGCGAATGGTACTAAGTTTGAATCCCGGAATGAACATTAACTCTAGGATTCTGGTGGGGAGAACTAGCTCTCTCTATAGAAATCCTCTCACATGGACACACGTATACAGCCACTGTTAGTGAAGTCCTACTCACTGCATTCTCTCAGCATTATTGTTGTTTACGAAATTGAGAGGACGGAAAGCAAATGTCCGGCACTGTAACCGGGTTGGTAGATACTGAGGATCTATCAAGGGGAGTTGAAAAACCCTGATTCCAAACCAACGGTGCACATGAGTTCCAGTATCTAGAGGGAAAAAATGGCGTATGAACCAATTGTTGGTCATCGGCTAACATGGGAAGACATCTACTAACGTTTCTCCACTGTTTTTGGATCAGAACTTTAGGTCGAAGGCTACGGGTGCGGTCACCTTCGGTTTGGGCACACAGACAGTATCACAGCCCACACACAAATCAAGTGACTTGTGTGGCGCATATGTATCTGGTACCCCTTTTTACCAATATTTATGTGTTCAAACAAATAAATAAAACTAGGATTCGGTATCTTCAGCTTAGAAAACACGCGTCATGGATTCCACTTGCTAGCTGCATCTTTTATTGACTTGTGTTAGAATGTCTATGTTAAAGCATTAATGCCTTGAGTTAATTCAGGTTATGTTTTTATTTTGTTTGAAACATGTATTGAAAAAATGGAGTTGATCTTAAAATGTGATTTATTTGTTCAATACATCTTAAATTTTAGTCATATACTTACTTGTTAAGGAAAACTAAATAAAGTTCATATAGATAATAAAAAATATCAAATAAAGATGTTATGCAGTATGGAAATAATCGACAGTCGACATATCACTCTTTTGAATTATGTGGATGAAGATGAAAAAGAAATTTTTTTCTTAGTTCATTACGGATGTTTTGTCTTTCATATTATCAGGGTTTTCACAAACATTAGAATTCACCCCTGAAGATTAAAGTCAATCCAAAGACTTGTTTGAATTTTATGTCGTGTCGTAGAGGTGCTAGTTGTCTACTTGTCAGCGTTAATTTGGACTTGTAATGCTAGCCAACCCTGAAGTCCGTTTCTTCGATATGCAATATAGAGAAGATTTGCTATTTAATCTGAATTTTAAAGTTTTCTAAACATATAACCGTTTAATACTATTGTTTTAATTATTAGTTATTTGTTAAGTACAATTAAGACAGATATTTTTAGGTCTATAGTTGATCGAATACGTGAACAACCTTACGGTGTTGAGTTTTATTATTTGTTCATAGTCTAACAGTCAAGTAGCTGTTCACCATTTTTAATAAATAGTTGGAAATCCCCACTTTTATAGCTTTTATTCTATGAATAACTTATTGTTTGTACATTGTAAGGCATAAGTTTTTTTAAAAGAAGTTTATTTTTATTTTGGACAATACCAATTACCCGATTTAGTTTAACTCGATTGACTTTGTTATCTTGGGCCACTTGTCGTGTAGTTAATACATCCATCCGCCAACCAAAGGACGAGTTTACTTCACATTAGTTCATTCCGTTCTTCTTTATGGGTGTGAAAAATGGGCAGTAAGAGTAAAAGATATTCGCGGATTACCAGTATTCGACCATTAAAGTCCATATATTTCGGGACCACCGAGTAAGTAATGCCTGGGTTGAGGATAAGATACTTAGTAACGATTGAAAATCGATATATGAGATAGTGAATCTTTATCAACTGAGGTGATAGAGACATGTGTTATGTTAGACACATCCAGTGTAAACTGGGAAGCACTAGATAGCTGTATCGTTTTAGAATGAAACTACACAGTAGTGCATATCCAAAACCTCACCAGGGATTAAACTCGGGATATTCAGTCTTGCGCGCCATCGTTCAACCTCCAGACTGCTGGGGCGGGTGTTTAAAAGTTAATTTCAGTAAAACTAGGTATTCTAATTGAAAAATAGGGTCAAGTTGCATGTGAATGTGTTACCATAATTCCCTCAAGATCGACTTATCACGAGAATTATTTCCACTTTAATTAAATTAATAATTAATATTTCTCATCCGATATTTTTTTTCTGAACATTTAGGTTAATGACTCACAAGGGATGTTATATCCATGGATTTACTTTATCAGTATGATCATTATCGGATCATTCTTTGTTATGAACCTAGTACTTGGTGTTTTGAGTGGGTAAGTATTTCCTGTTTATATTTAATGATTACAAATCCCCATCATATCTAGACACTGATATATTAACGAAGAATATTTTTTAAAAATAAATTCTCTTCAGGTTCTACAGTTCCAAACAAAACTCCATGAAAATCATCCACCTGAGCTACAAATATTCTCAACCACACTAATTTGACATCTTCAGAATAATTTAATAGTTGGATTCATGAGTCAATTGAAGCTAGACCATCATGAAAAACCTAGAAGCACTGAACCGCCGTTTCGTCCTAGTATGGAACTCCTCAATAGTGCGCATCCACGATACCGCCTCGCGAGATTCGAATCCAGGACCTTCGGTCTCGCACGCACGAACTCTTAACCTCTAGACCACTGAACTGGCCGGTATCTAACGTTGTTAATGTCTAACCTCAACCATTCCACGAAACTGCGCTACCATCTTTCATTGTACTGAGGTAGATACCTGTTTCTACCTGACACAGATTAGGCCCTAGGTTCGAATCCCGCGAGCGGGATCGTGGATGCGCACTGATGAGGAGCCCCATAGTAGGACGAAACGGCCGTCCAGTGCTTCCAGATTTTTAATGGTGCTCTAACATCAATCGGTTCATAATCTCAATCAAAAACTAAATAATCTCCACAACCCTATACTGCTAATTATCATTAGCAATCAAATGTATCAGTAGTGCATATAGATAATCTGGGGTTCATAATTACATTTATGTTATGGAAATAGTTTATTTCCCATATATTACTGCTATTTGATGTTAATTTCTTCTTTCTTATTCAACTTCCTGTTTCTCAGAAGTTTTATTCTTTAAATTTAAAATAGGTAAACTTGAATTAATTAGATGACTTAATTTTCTCTTTTTCTTTCTTTTTATTACTTACTTTCCATATCTAATCAAATTATCTTTATTCATCTATCTTAACTAAAGAATACTCATAATATTCACATGAAATCTAATTTTATCAAATACTGGCCTTCTAACTTTCCAATGTTCTATTCATCATCTTCATATTCTGAATAGAAGCGGGTCAGACTATCATTGAAAACCTGAAAGCACTGGACAGCTAGTATGAAATTCCTTAGTAGTACATATCCACGACCCCACACGCAGAAATCGAACACATACTGGCAATTATAATAAAAGTCTTTTTATTTACTCTCATGTATTCAGTTGAGCAAGGTTTGTACTCAAAATGAGATATTGTAAAGATGATTTACGTTAAAGAACTACAAAATAATTTAAAATCACAACTTTCATCACTACTGTATGTATATTTAGTCGCAAAGGTTTTTGTTTAGCTTTTCCCTTACCTTTAATGATATATTTGGTAGGTAGGTAGAATTCTTGTATTTGGTTTTGTGTACGTGGATTTGTTGTAACTTGTGCCCTGTGTCCTTATTAATGTATATCGTAATGATAACGCCAATTAGAGAACAGTGAATTATCGATCGGACCAATGACGCGTAAAACCCGTACGAGCAGCAGTCTAGAGTACTTATCCGTCCTGCTTCGTGCCTAGCCAAGTCAGTTAAGTCCAGAACGCCAATCTCAGCCTCTGTGCTATGAATCATTTATTTCAAACATACTGGGTTTATATACCAACCAACCAGACCACACGGTACCAAAAAATAAGAAACAACATTTTTACTAGCTTTAGCTAAAAGTGGCTGTGAATGTGGGAGGTAGTGATTAATAGACAGGGCATAGCTCAAGAATGGTAAGTCGTATAATAATAGTCTATAGGTCAAAATAAAGCTTATGATAAGAGGAACACAAATATGAATTGTTTAATTACTTAACAATTATACAATAGAAATATATGTATAGTACTAGTCCAGAAATATATTCCAGCAGTTATCATTCATTATTCTCATCGGGATATAACAGGATTGTTCTGTCGTGAGATGTAAAAGGGAAATGGTAAATGAGGCGGGTGACTTGTCAGTTATGTACAAGATTTGTATTTCCACAACCCTGCTCACCACCGAGTGAAGTAGATTTACCTTTCAGCTTGATAATAGCCTTCCTTGTATTGTGTAAAAGCGAGTTTTTTCAAACTTGAAGAACAACATAGGGGAATACATAGCATACATGAATTATTAAAACACAAGGTCGAGGTTGCTGATATTGGCAGCATATAGTTTCTTTATATCATAAGTTTAGAGGAAAATCTCCTTTGTCATTAACCACTTAATATTTTATATATCAGAATAAAAGCTTATATCAAGATAACCAACATTTAATTTAATTTTTTGATTGAGATCATGAACCGATTGATGTTAGACAACCACAATTGAAAACCTGGAAGCACTGGACGACCGTTTCGTCCTATTGTGGGACTCCTCAGCAGTGCACATCCACGACCCCGCCCGCGGGATTCGAACCCAGGGTCTTCGGTCTCGCGCGCGAACGCTTAACCAACTGGACCACTGAGCCGGCATCCAATGGTGATAGTTTCTAACATCAACCAATCCATGAAACTGCGCGACCAACTTCCGTTGTACTGAGGAAGATCCATGTCTCTACCCGACAACGATTAGCTCCATTGGTCACGGCTTCTTACTAGAACTCCGAGAATGTTTTATAACAGAATGATCGACAGATCATCAGTCAAGTAACACTACCAGGGTATTTAGTGTCTTTTAGTGTCTAATCCTAGAGTTAGCAGCTCGTCATTTAAAATAGTTGAAAGTAAGTTGATTTAAAAAGGAACTATTATCCAAACATTTCACGAAATCTTTTATTTCAAACCAAGCAGGATAAAATGTTTGATATGGTTAGTAGGAGAACAAAGAGAAAAAGATGGATCTTTGAGGTATACTCTGAAAATGTGGAAAGCTTTCTTGTATATACAATTTTCTTCTCTCCTCCAGGAAAATAATAATAAAATTACTTAGTTATTCAAGTTTTTGTGTTTAGTATTAAATTCGTTCTGAAAGATAAATATCTTAGAACAGAATCAATGGTAGAAATGTAGCTTACTGATGTAAGAAACTCGGATCTTGTAGCCTTTATTCTGATTCCATTTGATGTAGACGAAAGTTAAACCTCACATTTCATTTAGTTTATAATGCTTCAGCTATTTCATTGTGCAACTGTGTTATTCAAAAGTCAAATAAGAAATGTACCTGAAAAATCATATTTCATACAGTCATAAGATCCAATAACTATCCATGCATATAGAAATGGCTTGAGCCAAATCATTTACTTCATTATATGACAAAACAAACAAAAATCGTTCATATAGACAGGGATAATACTGATAAACAGATATGGACAACCACTCATACATAGGAAATGTACATTGATAAATTGTGACTGTTGCTCATGTATTATTGTATTCAATATAAACAATAAAGTTACAATTTTAGATATGCTGAGGTCAGATAAGTTCACATAACGGTTTTCATCGACCGGTCTTATCAATTCATGAGAATAATGAAAATTTAATTCATATGTATTAGTTATTTGAATCTTCCCACTAATGTCTATGGCCGGAATTGATCAGTCTCTTTTTGGTATATTTGTATTTTGCTTCTCGATATTGTCTCTAAACCACAAGGAGTTTTATGTAGAGATTGATGGCAAGTAGTACTGGGTTCGGATTCCGGAATGAATATCAACTATAGGTTACGGCAACTCCCAGCCGAAAATTTCCAAACAAAGCGAAACTCTCGTTCTGGATTTCACTGCTAGCCGCTATCCATTAATTCCTAAAAGTATCACAAGTTTATTTGTTTACTATCTAAAACGTGTGTATGGATCTGGTACAAACTTAAAAGTACGCTTTGGATATTTGTCAGGTGATTGATATGGATCAGTATAGTTCTTTAATGAAAATTAAAGTATCTTCGTTCTAAAAAGGTTGAACTGCATTAACATTATTACTTCAATTGCGTTTTCAATGCTACTTCAAACTATAACATCCATGAAATGTCATATGGCATAATAAATTGTATCAAAGTCAAGTATAGTTTTAGGTTGAGATCATGAACCGATTGGTGTTAGACTATCATTGAAAACCCGGAAGCACTGGATGGCCATTTCGTCCTATTGTAGGACTCCTCAGCAGTGTGCAGAAAACATACATAGCGTTTCTCATACCACTAGGATAGATGGAAATAACCTGAAATTTCGAAGACCTCTGAAATACAAGCGAACATTAATTATATAGATAAACAATCTGTATTCTTTATCACCAACTAGTAGTTTTCATGATTACTTTGGGATTTCATGACAGTCCAGTCCTAGATTGTCAAGAATATTTATAAACACACATTTTCCAATGTCTGTAACCAAGGCTGTTTCTTGGTAGCTACAATTGTCAACCTCCATGATTTACTTTTTCAATAAACCTGTAATCTCCATATATCTGATGTCTTACACGTTCTTTTATAAACTTTTACTTTCGATGAAACAGTTGTCAATATATTTAAAAATGGATTTCAGGAAGTTTTATAATGCACAGATTTGTTTATGTTAAGAAAATCAACTTGATAGTCAAATATCCTAATGTACTTCTATCTAATTGTTTGTTTTAACTCATTAGGATACTGACTATCATGTACAAGAGAACCACTGTAAACGTCATAGAAATATATTTCATTGAAAGTTTCAATATTAATTTCATTTAATGAAACAAAGTATTTGAATATGGAGATATTTATATAAGAAGGGGTTTTGTGGTGATTTTTAGAAATTTCACTGGTTGAAATCATGAGTCAATTGAAGCTAGACGACTAAAGAAAACCCGGAAGCACTGGACAGCTGTTTCGTCCTAGTATAGAACTCGCGAGACGGATAAGTCCTGGGTTCGAATCTCGCGTAGAGCGGGATCATGGATGCGCACTGCTGAGGAGTCCCATACTAGGACGAAACGGCCATCCAGTGCTTCGAGTTTTTTCATGATGGTCTAGCTTCAATTGACTCATGATTTCAACTATTGAAATATTTTCAGAATGAGTTTTGTGGAGATTTTAGTAAATTTCACAGGTTGAAATCATGAGTCAGTTGAAGCTAGACCACCATTGAAAACCTGGAAGCACTGGACAGCCGTTTCGTCCTAGTATGGGACTCCTCAGCAGTGCGCATCCACGAACTCGCCCCCTGCGGGATTCGAACCCAGGACCTACTGGCTTCGCGCGCGAGCACTTATATATATTTATATAAACTTGACGAATATAACTGTCATATATAAAGTTTATATTGATTTTGTATTTATCTATTTTATCTTTTCTCCCTTTTCATTGAATTAGGGAATTTTCAAAAGAGCGTGAAAAAGCTAAAAAACGTGGTAAATATCAAAAAGCTAGAGAACAGATGCAATTCGAAGAAGATGTACAAGGTTATTTAGATTGGATTAGTGCAGCTGAAGATATTAGTGATGATGAAGAAACTACAAATAAAGAAGATGAAAAAGAAAAAAGTAATTTAGTCTAAAGTGTAACTAGTGTTCATGATTTTTATAGAGATAAGAAGAAAGTATATGTGTTTTTCAAACTAGATGATCACTGTGTATTGTTAAAATTATCTCAGTGCCCGCAGTTGGTCTAACGTCATAATCATTGAATGATGATGTTGATGTAGTATATAGTCTACTTTACTTTGTATTTACCTTTTGACTTAAATCGCATTACTGCATAATAGAATAAGTGAAGTACAAGAGTGATTTTGGATACATTTATTCCAAATATTGATTGATTCTGATTGGAGAATGTAAACACAGATGCAATCTGTCCGACAATCGTTGTAACTTTCACACAAGGTTCCTCTACATACTACTTACAAACATCTTTGTAAATAGCGTCCAATATATATGTTTAGTTTTTGAGAAATAATGTCAGTTGTCTGCTGTTGCTATAAATGTGACAGCAGATTAGAGGACAGCGAATTATCGATCGGACCAAAGACGCGCAAACACGTAAGAACGGCGTAGGGTTCTGATTGGTCCCACTTCCCTGTTTAGCCCAGCCAGTTGAGTCCAGAACGCAGGTCTCAGCCTCGGAGATATGAATCGTTATATTTCAAGCACACTCTGTTTATATAACAATCAAGCAGACCACATCGTATCATAAAATAGAAAATAACATTGTACAATACTGACCAGTAAGAAAATGACACGTGAAGTAAATATTGACCAATAAGAAAACAACACCATTTCAAGTCCAAGGATAGCGTTAGACTTAACAGAATAATTTTTGGGATATTTTCCTGAATATCCCAACAGCTGTCTAGGTTGTGATTGAAACACATCGGTACAAAAAAATGTTGTTTCTTTGAAAAAAAACTCAATAGTGAATGTATAGAAAATCTAGGATCAAAAGTAAAGGACGATTGGGTCAAAATCGCAAGCATATTCTATGATTTCAGAACTACGCTTGGCAGACCGGTGTTCCCATCAGTTTTCTACTTTTCTGAGTTGTTTGTCTTCAGTTGTTCCTTATTCGTAAATCCAAACATTAAATTTCCATTTTATTGTACTTAATTTGTTACGTATCCTAATTATCTTATTGGAGAGGTACTTCAATTGTGTTTTCCACCACAGATTACGTAATTCAGTGATAGTAAAGTTTAAAGCAATTAGTCCCTTTGATATATTTCAATTATGCAATGAGAAGTTTAACAGAATTATATAATATATTTGCGCAATACATTTCGAACAGTTTGATCACACATCTATACTTGTTAAGACATTTTTATATTTCACTGGATGAAATCATGAGTCAATTGAAGCTAGACCACCATGGAAAACCTCGAAGCACCGGAAGGTCGTTTCGTCTTAGTATGGGACTCCTCAGTAGTGCACATCCACGATCCCGCACCCCGCGGGATTCGAACCCATGACCTACTGGTTCCGCGCGCAGGCACTTAACCACTAGACCACCAAGTCGGCATCCAACGGTGTTAATGTCTAACTTCAACCAATCCACGAAGTTGCGCCACCGTACACCATTGTCTTCAGTGAGTTCCTATCTCACAACAGACCTGGTTTTATATGAAAATTAAAAGGTCAACTAGATAGGTTAAACGTAAGACATAACAAAAAAATATTAAAGTACACAAAAACAATGTGATAACCACTCTGGATAATAAATCAGTATTACCAGGGTGGGTTAAGTGTAAGCACAAATTGTTTTTGAACGCATAAAGGGGGTTTCAGTTTCCGTACAGCCAAGGCTTCAATAAGCCTTAGTATATATCCGTGAAGAATTTTGTACAAAACTACAAATGCTGGCCTTGATGTCAACCTTATGACTAGTCTCAATCAAATGTTTGATAATTAGGATAGTTGCTTCAATTATGTCAACATATACATGATTAAAATTACTATCAGTTCTAGTTAATGTATCTTTATAAGAAATCGCATCCTCTATAGGGTATTAATGTTATTTTTTACCGTTAAACATTTTGATTTATATCGGTTTACATATGTATGTTAATAACCAATTCGACAACTACATACATAGGAAGGAGTAAAATACTGTGTTTATCAAGAAATGTTGCTATTCCATGACCTATGGTAAAAGGGATCGTTGTTTAACTGCAGATATTTACAAATTCTTTTGTACACCTTTATTAATCTCTTAGATTTCTTCGTATGACATGAATGGAAGACTAGTTCACATAATATATCTATCACTTTACTCTTACTTCCATTGGCTTGTCAAGTATTGGGATCGAGTTCAGAAAAAAATTCACTTGCTGAACTTTCACCTTGGTTCGTATACATTGCTTTAAATAAAGCTAGGTTACGATTAATGAACGCTGCAAACACTTCTTAGTCATTCATCTGAACTATTTAATGGTTAAATGATTAGCTAACAATTCTGAAAAAACTACGTTATCTTAACTGTCTCATTATTTTAAGTATCAATAAACATGCTCAACCCTCCTCCTTTATCCGGGCTTGAGACCGGCAGTAGCCTTCGGAGGGGCTCCATGAGGAGTTAAACGTATCTCTAAAAAGTAACTCCTATTCTTTAGAGGGTTATTCTTTTTATTTTCGTTTCACAAACCAGTACCTTGACTATAACTGAAAAAAAACACATCAATTATCTGATTATTTGCTCCAATCATTGTCATATATGAAAGTACTAAAGTTGTTGGAATGGTCTGGATTTATGTAATGAATTATTCCGAGTACACCCTTATTTAGCTAAACCGTCTAGGAACTAAACAGCATACATCTGTCTGGATCGTTTTGAACAATCTAGCTAGTTTCGCTGATTCGATTGAGTGAATAACAACCGGTTATTTCACTGAGTGGTGTATTGTATATTAACAATAATTTGTGTTTTTAAGCTTAATGCTTAAATTAATTTAATTTGTTCATATCTGAATAGTCTTCTTATAAATTGAAATCGGTCATTTAGTGAATTTTAATTACTTCTATGCCGATGCTGTAATAGGGAAATTACTCTTGAACGCCAACTGATTACATCATTATTGTTTTATATCCTTTAATTTTTTAAAAATTTATTTTTACAGAATTTCATTGGTGTGTTGCATGTCGGACCACCTCATCTTCAGCTACTGATGACTTTGAAGAGGAAGAAGAAGATCCATCTGAACATGGACTGGATGATGGCGGTGGTGGACATCGTAGTCAATCATCATCACAACAACATCAGTATTTTTTCTGTATTCCATTGAAAGGGTGAGTTATTTAAATTCAATACCATATGTTGTAATTAGAATTAATATTACAATTGTGTTTGGTATCTATTAATATCAACCGGTTTTTATACCACTTTTTAAGTATCAGTAAATTCAACAGTTTTGATAGACATTAGTGTCACTTTCTGTGTGATCATTAAAAAAAACACAAGATTCACGCTTGAGATACTTTGGAAAATAACTTTTTATAAACCTCCCAGTAACCAAGAACCTACTTCACAAAGCTGAATAAAAAGAACAGGGAACTGGAAATATAAAAATATCATTTTGATTGAGATCATGGGATGATTGATGTTAGATCACCACTGAAGACCTGAATGCAATGGACAGCCGTTTCATCCTATTGTGGGATTCCTCAGCAGTGCTCATCCACGGCCCACGCCTCGCGAAATTCGAACGCGGGACCTATCAGTCGTGCGCGCGAATGTTTAACCTCTAGACCACTGAGCTGGCCGACATCCGACGTTGTTAATGTCTAACCTCAATCAATCCACGAAATTGCGCGACCATCTTCCATTGTACTGAGGTAAATATCTGTCTCTATCCAATACGGATTAGCTTCACTGGTCACGGCTTATCACTAGAACTCCGAGAATTCCTTCACGAAGCTAGTTACTAGTGAGCACATAGTAATTATCAGTATAGGGTTGTGGAGATTATCGAGTTTTCGATTGAGAGCATGAATGGATTGATGTTAGATTACTGTTACAAACCTGGAAGTACTAAACAGCCGTTTCCTCCTGTTGTATGGCTCCTCAACAGTAGAACGAAACGGTCATCCAGTGCTTCCAGGTTTTCAATGTTGCTCCAACATCTATCAGTTTTTGATTTTTATCTAAAATGTATTATTCTCCACAACCCTATACTGAAGAATATAGTTCTTTGAAGGCTTTCATAATATATTGAAATCAAAAATATTCATATTAATTGTCTTGATTATTCTAGAAACATTAAAAAACAATGCTTATAATTTCTAATAAATATAATAATTGTCCAATCCAAAATAAATAAAGAAAATAAGTAGTCTTTTTATAGATTATTTTTGAGAGCTTTACAACAAGATCTGATTGGTTAAAACAATGTTAGCAACTTTCCTTGCTTCTAAAGAATTTATACAGAATTCTGCTAAATAGACATACATTTTATCTATTCTGTATTACATAATATAACTTTCATGTAAATTATTCCTATTAGATGGATACATAATTTACAGTTAATATAAATTACTTCACTTATCTTATATCTTAATGTAATAGCATTAATTGACAAACTATCATATCTAATGTATTCAGTCAGTCAGTCCGTCAGTAACAACGTAGAACTTCGTACGTACGTACGTACGTACATCAGTTCGAGTTGCCACACCACATTAGAACAGAGATGCAGTTGTAAATTGTACAAACAAATTTAACTTACTAATAACAATAACCTGATATTTCAAAATAAGAAATTCTCTTTGAATTGCCAATATATTAGAATACAATTTTTAGGGATAAGTTTTATATGAAACTATAATTTATGTACAACCTTTGAGAGATACTAAAGTGACTTTGAGAATCACAATTGATTGATCACTGGGTGATGATCAATGTCATGCGTGTCAAGTCCTTATTTAGTGCAGATCAAATGCTATCGACCATGTTGCAATGTGGCCACCAGTCTAGGTGACGCGACACTGCGTGCATTGTATATTGAGATTAGATGGTGGTTGGAGGTAGTCAACAGGAAACCCTGGACTCGAGTTTTGTGCTATTTGGCACTCGTCAGCAAGGTACACCTGTAATCTTGAAGGAACTGGTGCTCCATGGCGGATTCGATCACTGGGTGGTGATCAATCAATTGTGATTACATCTCAGTCTTACAGGAGGTTAGTCATGACTCGGATAGCTCAGTGGTAACGTCTCTGACTGTGAAGCTGGGTGACACGAGATCGAATCCGCCAGGGAGCACCAGTTGCATCAAGATCACAGGTACACCTCGCTGACGAGTGCGAAGTAGCACGAAACCCGGATCCAGGGTTTCCTGTTGACTACCTCCAACCACCATCTGACTTTGAGAATGTCCACTTATTTATTAGGGTTAAATGATAATCATAAAACAGTATGAAAAGTAAGAATTATGATTTACAGTTGATAGTTGAGGATAAGAATTAGATTTATGGTTTTTTCATCACAAACTGCATATTAACTAAAATACCAGGACGCTATTTAAGACAATTGAGTAAATGAATTTCTCGCTAAAATCCCAGACTTGTCATCTTAAATTTGATTGGTTCATTCATAAATTATAGTCTCGCCATATTTATTCATAATCAATTAGGAAGATGTTTTTATGTGAAAGAATAAATTAGAGAACTTTAGAATAAGTAATAGAAACTTGTCAACTTGTAGTTTGATAATTTGTGGTCGTATATTTCGATAGTTTAGTATATTTATCAGTTTTGGCGATTTATGGAGATTGTAGCATTTTAAACAGTTGTATTGATCAGTTGATCTAAGCTATACCACCACTAAAAACCCAGAAGCACTGGAAAGCCATTTTGTCCTAGTATGGAACTCCTCAGCTGTACATACTCACGATCCCTCACATGTGATTCGAACACATGGCTTAGGTTCTGCAAGATCATGGATCGGATGAAGTTAGACATTAACACCGTTGGATGCTGGCTAGTTCGGTGGTCTAGTGGTTAATTGTTCATGTGCAAGACCGAAGGTCCTGGGATCGCGGATGCGCACTTCTGAGGAGTCCCGTAATAGGACGAAGTGATTGTTCAGTGCTTCTAGCTTTTCAATGACTGTCTAGCTTAGACCAACTGACGAATTCAACTGTTAGTATATTCACATTGTTCTTGTTGATTTTCACACTCCATAATAATTGATTTTCTCCTGTGATAGAACGTGATACAATTTTCTGTGTTCAGAATCCCAGTCCTTTTGTTTGTACGTTTGTTTTCTTTTAAATTTAACGTCCATCAATGACACATAGATTTCTTAAGTTTGTATATAACTAAATAGCTTGGATAAACTATGTAAAAAGCTTTTCGCTTTAACAATCTTTATTATTTGTCTATCATTTATGAGAGGACACGTTGGGTCTTAGTGGTTGTCTAACTAAGATAAATGTGTGATGTAAATTGTGAGAATATTAGATGGTGGTTGGAGGTAGTCAACAGGAAACCCTGGATCCGGGTTTCGTGCTACTTCGCACTCGTCAGCAAGGTGTATCTGTAATCTTGATGCAACTGGTGCTCCCTGGCGGATTCGATCTCGTGTCACCCAGCTTCACAGTCAGAGACGTTACCACTGAGCTATCCGAGTCACGACTAACCTCCTGTAAGACTGAGATGTAATCACAATTGATTGATCACTGGGTGGTGATCAATGTCATGCTTGTCTAGTCCTTATTAGTGAGAATATTATTTGCTTTATATCAAGGAAAACTTAGTATAACTATGTTATATGCTACCACTCCTATACTTATAAAGAAAATCAATTTTCCTTTTAGAAGGCGATCGCGGCGTTGGAATCGTCGTTGCCGACGTTCTTGTCGTCGGCTTGTTAAATCTCAGACATTTTACTGGATAGTTATAGTCCTTGTTTTTTTAAATACTGGTGTTCTCACTTCAGAGCATTATGGACAACCGCCGTGGCTTGACGATTTTCAAGGTAAATTTTTGACATATATACATAAAATTGTTAATCGATGATTGCTATTTTGTTGTAATAATACTTTAAATCAAAAGTTTCTGCTTACGGTTAATTTATGTGAATAACGGACGATTAGATGGAATCGATGACTGACATTACTTAAAGAGTACTTAAAGCTAATAAAGATATAGTCAATGAGTGATTTTGAATTTCTTTTCAAAATTGGAGTATTCAAGACAATGCACAATGATATAGCTGTCCCACTTTATTAAAAAATAACATCGTGAGATCCATTCGCTTTTATGATATAAGGATATTTCCTTGAACTACTGACCATTTCCTTGTTATTTACAGTCTACATCATTATTGAAATGAGGGACATCTCTATATCCAGGAGATTATGTCAAATAAGCCCAAATGGAGTTGGTCTATCACTTTTGACTTATATGTAGCCACATACGAAACACCAATCAACCAACCCCCTAATATACCTGTGAGACGTTTTATGAAGCGGTCTTAAACGTCAGTAATTATGAAGACAATTTACTTCGAACAGTGGCTGAGGGATCCATCTATGACAAATACAATATTAATCATACTAAACTTTAAAAAAAAACATCTCAAAAGATTAATAGAAACCAGGTTGACATATACAAGTGATTACTCTTATCGTTAATTTTGGACAAGTTTGGTATCCTAAAATCATGGTTAACACGAAGTTTAGTATAACGGTTTGGTCATTCCAGTAGCTTCAGTTTGGGCACCCGGGTAGTATCACACCCCTCACACATATCAAATGAGATTTGTGTGATGCATATGTATTTGGTGCCCCCTTGTATCAATATCTATGTATTCAAATAAAAATAAAAAATAATAGAACTGTTTGTTTAAGCAACTGAATTTCAAAATTGTAAAGACAAACCACACCAATGATGGCCGTTTACATTAAAACGATTACATGATTTACCGAAACAAAACACAAAGTAATAGAGTACTAGAAAAGGTCTGAAAACCTTGGAAATCTATTGTGAATTTAATTAGTGAAAAGTGTGTATGTTAATTCCTGAGACCGATTATCTACTGAAGTCAGTTAGACAAAATAGTTCTCACATTTGGATTTAGACCCAGGAAATATCTAAAAAGCATAAAGTCCTGTATTACTTAACATCTTTATTACAAATATGTCATGAGTGGTGTTCTGGGTAAATGGTCAGATTTAACACATGATTGGACGTATGTATTTACCTCAACTTTATCTATACTCCCATTGGTTATAAACACTGACAATCAATGACCCATCCACAATTGAATAACACTCATAAAATACGTATATATATATTTCAATGTTTTACGTAGTTAGTCGCTTCCCAATGTCCTTGGTCTCTTACGTACTTGTGGACTTCATTGTTAATGATTAATAATACACTATTCCATCAACTGATATTCTAGCTTTTGAATATTTCCAAGTGAATTACTAAGAGAATTGACCCTCTGAAATACTAAGTTAACGAGATATTATACATTGAAGTCAAATGAAGTGATATTAACCAATTTTGAGACTATGTTATTATTAATGTTTATTAGTATAGATAATATCGTGATACATTATGAAATATCTTGTTATACATCATGCCAATTTTATAATAGGGTACTTTTATAAATTAAAAAAAACAAACATTACATGGATCAATAAAATTAGTTAGCAATAAAACTTCTTTTTCCCATGTCAAATGACAACAGAAATTTTAGTTATGGTTGTTTTTTTTTCTTTTTTGTTTTATTTCTCCTCTATTCATAACGATGTATTTATTTGGCTTTGTTGTTATCGGTACAATTCAATAAAGAATAGTTTATAATGTTGAATATACAAATATACATATTTTTGTTGTTTTTCTCTTCCCCATCCCCTACTCCATCTTCCCTTTCTCCTCTCTCTCCCCCCTCTCTTTTTGTTTTGTTTTTAGATATGGCCAATATTGTATTTGTTGTCCTCTTTTCTATTGAAATGTTAATTAAAATGTACAGTTTAGGAATACGATGTTATTTTGATTTTATGTTTAATCGATTCGATTTTTTTGTGGTTATCTGTAGTATTATTGAAGTTGTATTAATACAAACTAAAGTGATGCCACCATTAGGAGTATCTGTATTACGTTGTGCTCGTTTATTACGTGTATTTAAAGTGACCAGGTAAGATTCATATTATGTAAGTAAGCATATTTTCTTTTTTAAATATGGATTAATTTGATGATTAATTTAATTATTATCATAAATGGTTTCTACTCCGCCTGGAGTCCCTCCGGGGGCTACTGTCGGTCCCAAGCCCGGATAAAGGAGGAGGGTTGGGCATGGGGTTAGCGACCCCATCCCGTAGAAAACTAACTCGCTAAAAAAACTCTAACCAGAAAAAAATTATTCTATTCTATAAAGGATATGCTTAATTAATATTTCATAGATTTCGATCTCAATGCAAACAAATCATGTATTTTCTGTTTAATTTAATGATCATGAACCGACCATTATTAGACTGTAATTATAAACCTGCTGGTACTCATTCTAATAAAAGACTATTTAGCAATGTGCCTTTACGAGGAACTTCTAATTACATTTATTAACATTTGTTAATGGATTCTGACATGAAACACAGTTTTTCCCGTTGATACGTTCAAATAGCGACAACAAGTATGAAAGAATTATAAAGTGGTAAGATGAATAAACATTTTTATGCTACCAAATCGTGAAAATTCTAGAAGAAAATATTCTTGAAATTCGCTTTTAAAAAAAAAAGAATATTCGCATAATAACCGTAGAATTCAATGTAACCACACAGTATGCGAAGTGAAGCTCAAGAAGACTCAAAAATGGGAATAGGATTTCATGTTATGAATGTGAAATAAGATATCACGTCAGTAAATTATAGAAGAATATAAGTTTTACAATCTCATCTTTGTGAATACGTTAGTTTGATTTCAACTTTTTCATCATAATGGCCTTGACATAGCGTAGTAATTTCAAAATTGTCCGGGTACCGTTTATTTTCGAGGGTTTTAAAATCCTAACATTATATCCACTATCAAGCAAATGATGAGCAATAGCACAGTGCTACTGCTTGATAACTAATTATTACTATCGTTTTTAAGCTATAAGCAGCTGATGATAATCTACGAAATATATTCGCTTCTTTACGCTTGATAAGTCTTGCAAATTGAACGCTATATTCGTTTCCTAAGCTATTCTGTAACCCCCAAGCTAGAACTATACAGCGACCTCAACAACGAGAGAGAAGACGCAAAGTATGCGAGAAGTACTTTACTCCAAGGTTCATTTAAATACAGAAAATACAGGGTTTTTATAATACTTTAAATGTCCTTGGGTTGCTCGAACATTCTGGAATGCTATTAAACATAGTAGCAGTGCAGCAATCAGTCAATCAGAGCCTCCGCATGTGACGTTTCGCTTCCTTGATATTTCTGGCTAGAACTTCAAGTGAACGCTGATTAGATAAAACTCTTCTTAGTGTTTCCTGATGTTTCCTTGTCTTTTGCAAGCAATTTTCTGGATCACTTCAACAACGCTATACTTGTTCTTACTGTTATGTTCAAATTTTGACATCAATTGATTGATAACTGATTTTAAAATTACTTGACATGAAGTTGAACTAATTGCGTTTTAATGTCAGCCTTTTCACTACTGCATTTTTATAATCTTAATACAGCTGGAAAAGCTTATGTTACAAAAATAGTTCACTATCTATCCAAAGAAAAGTTGTTTTTCAATTTACTGTGCAACCTTCTATATTGTTTTCTTCACTCCTCTTCAATTATTAACTATCTATAGAGAAAAAACAAAACAAAATTTGATCGATAATGTACATAATTTATGGATAGTTATAAGTTGCCGTACTGTTTCGGACAGAACATTTAGTGCAATCTACTTGGTCCGGCAAAATTCAATTTCTTAACCATAATGCTAGCTTTCGAATGAGTTTGATCTGCTTGGTCTTGAAACAACATATTATTTCGTTTGGTTTCACCAGGTCTAACATTTGAGAGTACTGAACTAATGCTTATTCCTGTTTGGTGATTTACATTTATATGTACATATTTGAAGCCAGAATTTTTTTTATATTTTCACACTAATCATATTGGATTTAATGACTAAGTAGAAATCAGTAACTAGTGAATACCTTCCTCAATTCGTGAAGCTTTTTATACCTCATTTAAATGAAAATTTGACTCTAAACTAAACAACATGTAGTATTGATGAGATTTGTGCATACGTCTTATACAAAATCATGGAATATTTAACTACTACGTACTTGTAATATGAATGATTTCATTAAAAACATTATACCAGAAGGGGTTTTGTGGAGATTGTAGTAATTTCAATAGTTGAGATCATGAATTAATTGAAACTAGGTCACCATGGAAGACCTACAAGCATTGAATGACTGTTTCGTCCTATTGTGGTACTCCTCAACAGTGCGCATCCACGACTCCGCTTCGCGGGATTCGAAATCAGGACCTATCAGTCTCTCGCACAGATGAATATATTTCCTAAAAACTGGTAGATTATCTAGTTCCCTTTATAACTTATCCAATTTATAAAGTAATTATTTGTTTTGAAAAACATGAGTGTGTAGCCTTAAGGATCACTGGTTTAAGGAAAGTGACAAATTTCATAGATTTACTTTTAATGACTATAATCTTCCTTCATCTTGAATAAATTATAATTAAGTTGAAGTCACCATTTAGTTATGAAAGTTACACTATTCGAAATACACTTATATATATATATACCTTAGTTGTTTGAATGAAATGCGTGAAAAACCTTTGAAACTATCAATTTATATATTACTTTGATATGTAAGTGAATTCTGATCAAGTACCCTTTTACACTTTAGTTGTTTTTGTTGTTGCTGTATTTAATTTTATTCTATTTAACTACTTAATTATTACAGCTAGTATACATAATTCTATGAATGTGGTTTCCACATAAATTTATACAATATCTTTATATCTCATCACAAATCAACATTTATCTGTTTCAATGGTTAAGATCATGAGTCATTTGAAGCTAGACCACCATGGGAAACCTGGAAACACTGGATGGCCGTTTCGTTCAATTGTGGGACTCCTCAGCAGTGCGCACCCACGACCTCACCCCTTGCGAGATTTGAACCCAGGACCTATAGGTTTCGCGCGCGAGCACTTATCCACTAGACCACTGAGCCGACCGGTATCTAACGATGTTAATGTCTAACTTCAACTAATCCACGAAATTGAGCAACACATTCACCATTGTCTTCAGTGAATTACTACCTCACAACAGATCTGGTTGAAATTTACTGGTCACTACTTCTAACTAGAACTCCAGGATATACCGATATACTGACTCATGATCTTAGCCATTGAAATTACTACAATCTCCACAAAACCCATCCGATATTTATCTGTTTGTTTGTTTTTTCTCTTTTTTTTACTTTACATTTACAGATATTGGAGTAGCTTACGTAATCTAGTTGGTTCATTATTAGCTAGTTTAAAATCAATTGTTAGTTTATTAGTTCTATTATTTTTATTCATTGTCATATTTGCTTTACTTGGTATGCAATTATTTGGTGGAAGATTTAATTTTCCAAGAGAAGAAAAGCCAAGATCAAATTTTGATAGTTTTTATCAATCACTTATAACAGTTTTTCAAGTGAGTATCTTTTCTTTTTAAAAAAATGTATCTATCATTATCGATAAATAATATTTGATCTCACAACAGACCTGATTGAATTCCACTGGTCACTGCTTCCCTAGATCCAGGATATACCTTTTGAAGCCAGTCACAGGTGAGCATATGTTGATTAATATCAGAAGGGGTTTAGTGAATATTGTAGTGATTTCAATAGTTGAGATCATGAGTCAATTGAAACTAGACCTCAATGGAAAACCTGCAAGCACTGGACGGCCGGTTTGTCTTATTGTGGGACTCCTCAGTAACGCCCACTCAACAGCTTTTATTAATTCTGAAATGGATTTTTCTTTGTCTGTAAATATCATTTTAAGAAATGCTGAAACGTTTTAATAAATAAATCAATTCTTATTATTGTCGAACATTAACTAATGACAACTTAATGGTCTAGATGTTAAGCGTTAGCGCGAGACCCATTTTCCTGGGTTCGAGTTCCTCATGTTAAATTAACGAATTTTAACATTAATCATTTTAACTACACTAATGAACCCATGAATTAAGGTACCGAAATATAATAAAAGCTAATCTCAGTTGTCAATATAAAATTTCAATCCTAGTTGATCTTATGTTAATTAAATAAGAACAATTAATATCTTTCTTCAAACTATTTTATTCTATATAATAAATCAATTCAATTCATTTACATCTTAATTATTTAGTATTTACCTTCAATTGAAGATAACGCGATTCACTAAACAGTTTGTTCAACATTCTTGAATAATGTTACTGTTTTGTTTGTTTTTTCTTCTGTCAAATTCTCTTGAAATTTTCTCTTCATACGTGTTAGTTACTAAAATTCATTAATTTTTTTTTATGGTTCCTTAGATTCTATTGTTTTTTTTTTTTTGAACTTAGATTTTAACTAGTGAAGATTGGAATGAAGCTATGTACAATGGAATTCGTTCATATTCAAATAGTCGTGTTGGTATTATGGTCTGTTTATATTATGTTATACTTTTTATATGTGGAAATTGTATCCTTTATCTGTAAAATCTTTTACATTCATAACTTTGAAATGATTCACTTGATTTTTTCTTTACTTGTATCCTCCCATTAATATTTAGGACTACAATTGATCAGTCTGATGTTGGCATATGTGACTGATCGATTGAAGTCTTAAATAACAATAGGAAGATACAAGTAAAACAATACCAATTGAATTTAAATTCACCCCATTTCACAAGCAAGCGGTTATCAGAACTCAGTAGCGAAGTGGGTAACGTGATGGCGTTTGAGCCGAATGGCACTGAGTTCGAGTCCCAGAGTGAATATCAATTCTGAGATACAGGTACATTCAGTTGACGAGTCCCAATTAGGACGAAACGCTCGTCTTGGATTCCACTGCTAACCATTAACTATCTTTGCTTAAAAAGTTTGAAATGATTGTAATAATTCACTGTTAGGTATTACATAATATTCATTATTGATTTCTATGCCTAATATGTATTTAATTAAAGTAAACCTTTAATAGATATTGTATTTTAGTTTATGTTAGGATATTAAGTTCAAGAGATTATTGTCACCTTATGGAAAACATCAGAGTTTTCAATACAAATGTCAAGACTGTTCTACTGAATGGTGCAGAAACCTGGAGAACTACAAAAGCCATCACCTAGAAGATACAAGTGTTTATTAACAAGTGTCTACGCAAACTACTTCGGATCCGTTCATCAGACACTGTCAGCAACAACCTGCTATGGGAGGGGACAAACCAGATGCCAGTGGAAGAAGAAATGAGGAATAAGCGTTGGAAATGGATAGAACACACATTGAGGAAAGCACTCAACTGAGTCACAAGGCAATCCCTCACATGGAATCCTCAAGGCCAAAGGAGAAGAGTAGGACCAAATAAGAATACATTATGTCGAGAAATGGAGACGGACATGAAAAGAATGAACAACAATAGGATAGATCTAGAAAGGAAGGCTCAGTACAGAGTGAGTTGTAGAAGGTTAGTCAGTGGCCTATGCTTCATTGGGTGTAACAGGTGTAAGTATCTTAGAACATCGTAATACCTATTAAGAGTACTTTGTGGTTGGTGTTTCGTAAACTTTTCAAATATCATTCAAAAGGAAATTTACTAAAACACATTATTTTGATATTTATACACTGATGAATGTTAAATATATTTGTATTCTACATCTAGCTATTATGAGTTTTCAATATAAATAATAAGAGATGACTCTGAATTAATTAACAGCAATGAAACTATGTATTGACTTGTTCTTAATTCATAAATTCTATTCTATTCATTTAAATACAAAGTGTTTAACTGTCTGTTCATTAAAAGCTTTTGTATAATGGAAAGAAAAATGGTGTCATCTATGTTTATTATGTCATAGGTATTTGTATAAAAGAGAGAGTTCATAATTTTAATACAGTATTTTTTCTTATTTTCTACAAGGGGGAGCAGTTTTTAGTGCACAAACATGTACTTGACTACACTATCTGTTCTTTGTAATGTTTAGTCAAATTTTAATTCTTCTTTGATATACATAAGTGAGTTGTACTATTGCAGTACAATTGTCTTTTCTTAATGGAGTTTTGTTCTATGAGCTGGATGATTTAGTCATGCAGCTTTTCCTCGTTCTTCTGAACGACATCATCATAACAAACTTCAGATAGAAGTGAACACTTCACTCCACATGAGCTACAAATCTCCACCATTTCAAATTGTGTCTTCATTTTTTCCAGCTATGTTACCATAGACTAAAAACATTTACAACTATAAGGTTTTTATTTATTATTATTACTATTACAAAGGTGTGGTTATAAGGCTAGTATATATAAATTTCAATATATATATATTGTTAGACATTAACACCGTTGGATGCCGACTTGGTGGTCTAGTGGTTAAGTGCCTGCGCGCGGAACCAGTAGGTCCTGGGTTCGAATCCCGCGGGGTGCGGGATTGTGGATGTGCACTGCTGAGGAGTCCCATACCAAGGTGAAACGACCTTCCAGTGCTTCGAGGTTTTCCATGGTGGTCTAGCTTCAATTGACTCATGATTTAAACTTTTGAAATTTCTAAAAATCTCCACAAAACCCATTTTGACAATAATTTCCTTAACTCAGTAATAACATGTAAATAGATATACTACTCAATGTCTTTTTGGCTATTGCTGTTGATAATTTGGCTGATACTGGTCAAATGGAAGAGAAAAAAGAAGAAACAGATGGTGAAAAATCAGATAATAAAGAAAATGAAATGACTAGAAATGAAGATATTATAATTGAAGGAGAAAATGATAAAGAAAATAAAATGTATCAATCAGTAGACAATCGAAAACCATCTACTACAATAACTAATACTACTGAAAATAAATTAACTGAAGTACATCATGAATTTAATGATGTTACACAATTATTAGATCAATTAAAGTAAGATATTTTACTTAAATTAGATACCTTTAAATTATGATTCATTAGCTTAAGGATTTATATTTCATAGTGCCTTATCATAATACCTAAATTTGACAACTTCTTTAATATGCTAAAAAAAACTGATATTACTTAAAACCATTTAAAGTAGGTTTCGAAGCAAGTTCGGATCGGTTGGTAAGATAAAGATGAATGATTAGATATGTGATTCACAATCCCATACCGAAGAAAAGAACCTTGCTATAAATGAAAACACTAACCAGAAAAAGATACTTAAACCAATTAGACTCTGTTCTGATGGTTGAAATATCTTCAATTAGTAGAGTTGTGATATCTCATGGTGTTTTTTATTATTATTATTTGAACACATAAATATTGGTACAAGAGGGCACCAAATATGTATGCACCACAGTGAACAATGAGAATTTAAAGACAATGGAAAAAAGGTAAGGAGCGTGAAAGAAAAGGGGAACAATAACGAACAGATTGGTGTAAGGTAGTGTAATAATAGTAATAGTAATAATTGGGGAACGAAAAGGTACAACGAGAAGAAATCTTTCAGTTAAGGAAGACACAACCACTCTTTACGAAGAAAGTAAAAGAAAGTTACGCCAGGATCGCCACTGGATTCTATTCTGAGCCATATCTGATAGCGTCTCTAGGGAGTTATGAAGAACCAACACAAGCCAGCCCTTTGCAGCTTTCCTTCATACCACGACACCATGTCATACACTGACCACCTCTCCGCTTTTTCCAACCAGTCCCAGAGTCGGCAAATAATGCACGGCGTGGAATTCTCTGGGACGACATTCGTAGAACATGTCCAAGCCACCGAATTCCGTGTTTCAAGATGGTGACACCAATTGCATTATCGTCTCTGTGACCGAACACACGATGCCGAACCTCTGCATTACCAACATGGTGTTGCCACTGGATGTCAGCAATCCTTCGGAGACAACGATGATCGAACACAGAGAGTGTAAGACGAGATTCTTTGAAAATCACGAGACTGATGCTACTTTTGACAACCAATGCTATAATTAACATTAGGTTAATGTCTATTATTCCAGACCTCAGTTTGTAATTTTCGTAGATACAAATACCGATAAACTAGCTGATAAGTTAGTTTTTGTATCATCACTAACCAAATTTGATTATAATCAGTCCTTTTATTTATAGTATGAATTAATAGTCTATAATTTTCTAAAATAATTTATTAAACCATTATATTCTATTTGTAAATGACAATAATTTTCTTTAATGTATCATAGTACACGTAAATAGGATCAAATCAGATTTCTCATTTCATTACAATATATGTTAATTTTTCACCAAGTAAACCTGTTAGGAATGTTAGATTCCTAGAACTCATTTGGTTAATAACTTATTTTTGTAATTCTTATACTTATAAAAAAAGTTTTATACTATTTAGAAATATGCATTGAAGTATGATTAGGTTCCTATGATGGATTAAACTGCAAAGTCGTGCATGCTGGACAGTTGACAGACTCGTTCAAGGCAAAGAATGGTATCAGGCAACGTTGCTTATTCTCACCCTTTTCCTTTCTTCTGGAGATCGAATGGATCACGAAGACGTCAACATCTGAGGGAAGCATGGGATACAGTGGACAGCTAGGATGCAGCTGGACGATCTAGACTTCGCAGATGATCTGGCTCTTCTATTGCACACGCAACAACAAATGCAGGAGAAAACGACCAGTGTAGCAGCAGACTCAGCAGCAGTACATCTCAATATACACGAAGGGAAAAGCAATATTCTCCGATACAACACAGCATGCAACAATCCAATCAAAATTGACGTAGAAGATTTGGAAGATGTAAAAACCATTACATATCTCCGCAGCATCATTAATGAGTATGGTGGGTTTGATGCAGATGTGATGCGCGGATGGGAAAGCAAGAGCAGCATTTTTACAACTGAAGAAAATCTGGAAGTTAAAACAACTGTCAACCAACACCAAAGGCAGACTTTCCAATACAAATGTCAAGACTGTTCTACTGAATGGTGCAGAAACCTGGAGAACTACAAAAGCCATCACCTAGAAGATACAAGTGTTTATTAACAATTGTCTACGCAAACTACTTCGGATCCGTTCATCAGACACTGTCAGCAACAACCTGCTATGGGAGGGGACAAACCAGATGCCAGTGGAAGAAGAAATGAGGAATAAGCGTTGGAAATGGATAGAACACACATTGAGGAAAGCACTCAACTGAGTCACAAGGCAATCCCCCACATGGAATCCTCAAGGCCAAAGGAGAAGAGTGGGACCAAATAAGAATACATTATGCCGAGATAAGGAGACAGACATGAGAAGAATGAATAACAATTAGATATAACTAGAAAGGAAGGTACAATACAGAGTGAGTTGGAGAATGTTGGTCGGCGGCTTATGCTCCATAGGGAGTAATAGGCTTAAGTAATTAAGTAAGTAATAATTAGCTTACTTTCTGTACATTTCAAATTCTAATTTTACAACTCTATAGCTAACCCGAAATTGTATAGACCCTCTATCATTTTATTTTTATTTTTTCTTTTTACATCTCCTTCATTTCATATTATAAAATGGATTAATTTAGTTTATTTCTAAATTCTTATTTAATTTCCCTATGGAATTTAAATATAAATCTATATCATCTTTATTATTATTATTATTATTGATTTCTTGGTATCTAATACATTGACAACAATTTCTTTTTTTTTGTTAATTTTGTTTCCGGGTTTATGTTTAACCAAAATTATTCTCTTATTATAGTACTGTTGTTGTTTATTTTTTTATGCTTTTGTTTTTTTCTTTTTTGTACGTCTTTCTATTCATCGTAGTTAATTGAAGCTAGACCACCATAGAAAACCTGAAATCACTGAACGGTCGTTTCGTTTTATTGTAGAACTCTTCATCAACTCAGTGGTTTAATAGTTAAGCGCTTGCGCACGAGACTGATAAGTCTTGGGTTTGAATTTCGTAAGGCAGGGTCGTGAATATGCACTGCTGAGTAGTCTCACAATAGGACAAAACGGCCATTCAGTACTTTTAGGTTTTCCATGGTGGACTAGCTTCAATTAACTTATGATCTCAACTATTAAAAATGACTGTAATATCTACAAAAACCCCTCTGGTACTAAATTCATATTATTACCATGTTTACAATTAAAAAATATAATTTCTGAATAATTTAGTAATTTTAATTAGTTTATTTAATTTTTCGTTTTTAATTATATATGTATATTTATGTACTTATTGAAGCTTTGATCTAAATTGGTATTATTCACTTGGTATTGTTTACTTGAATCTTCCCATTGTTATCCCAGTCAGTCAGTCAGTCAGTCAGTCAGTCAGTCAGTCAGTCAGTCAGTCAGTCAGTCAGTCAGTCAGTCAGTCAGCTACAACGTATGACCGGGCTCACATATGCATCGGTCCAAGTTGCCATACCTCATTAACACAACAAGATGAACACCGGATTCATAAAAGTAGTTAATTCAGAGGTGGTAATATATAAAAGAAAGATTGAAATAAGGACATAGTACAGGAAGAAAGATATGAATCGATTTTAATCTCTTAATTTAAGGGAAGATAGAGAGGGTATACACCTGAGCCATTGTGATCGATTGTGAGCCATGTCACCCAGAGTCTCCAACCATTGGTTACGATAGTCACGCGGACCCCAACCAAGTAGTCTGTATCTACCAACATGGCTCAGACTACAAGTTAGTGACTTCAAGCACTGATGCCACGTTTTGGTTTGGCCGCCCCTAACTTTCTTCCAACCATCCCGAACACCGGTTAGCATTGCACTTCGTGGTAATCGGTGTTTGGGTATACGTAACACGTGGCCCAACCATCTCGGTCGACGAAGATTCACAACCTCATCAACTGATTTACCATCATTCCCTGATACCCTGCGTCTAACCTCGCTATTACTTATCCGGTAATCGAAGCAGATGCGAGCAATATTTATAAGTCTTCTGTGGTCAAATACTAGTAGCTTACGAATGTCTTCTACTTTTAATGGCCATGTTTCGCTGCCGTAAAGTAAAACAGAACGGACTGCCGCGCAGTATTCTCGTCCTTTTATTGATAGATGGATATCTCGCCTTCGCCATCGGACTGTAATTGATCAGTCACTTATTGGTTTATGTGGAAACTGTGCGTATTACCTCGATATAGCATTAATTCACAAGTATTCTAAGCAAAGATGGATAGTGCCTAACAGTAGAATCCAGGATGCACAACACTTTGTCTTATTTTGGACTCGTCAACTGGTTGTGTCTACATTTCAGAGTTGATGTTCACTCTGGGACTCGAATCGAGTACCGTTCGCTTCGAACACCATCGCGTTATCCACTTAGCTACTGAATCTTGATAGCCACTAATTTGTGCAATGGGTTTCGAGTCCGAAGTGAACTTCAAACCTGTGATACAGGTACATCTAACTGATGAATTCCAAATGGGTCGAAACACGCATCGAACTGGATTTCACTGCTAGCCATTATACATTTTTGCTTAGGTCTAAATTGGTATGATGTTTAATATTTTTTTGATACTTGTTAGCATAATAAATCTGCATTCTTGATTATAAGATTGCTTTTTATGAGATTCTGACTAGTCACATAGTGTCACAATGAGCAATGATTATTATAATTGAAATCTCATAGTATCTAAATGTTTAGGGTGATTTACCTATCGTAATAGTCAAGTATAGCGTGAAAGCTGTAAACATTTTCTATATTCAATAAATAGCTCAAATTGTACGTTTTTAAGTAAATAAAAATAGACCTATTAGATGTTGGTCGGAGGTAGTCGACAGGAAACCCTGGATCCGGGTTTCGTGCTACTTGGCACTTGTCAGTAAAGTGTACCTGTAATCTTGAGGGAACTGATGCTCTCTGGCGGTTTCGATCCCGTGTCACCCAGCTTCACAGTCAGAGGCTTTACCACTGAGCTATCCGGGCCGCGACCGATTTCCTGTAGGACTGAGATGTAACCACAATTGATTGATCACTGCTGACGAGTGCCAGGTAGCACGAAACCCGGATCCAGGGTTTCCTGTTGACTATTTACAACCACCATCTAATCTCACTATATAGTACACGCAATGTTGCGTCACCTAGACTGGCGGACACATTGCAACATGGTCGATAGCATTCAATCCGCACTAAGAAGGACGACATACATGATATTGATCGCCACCAAGTGATCAATCAGTTGTGAAAAATGAATCTATGCCAAAATTTATTCGTTAGATGTTAGACCAATTTATCGTTTATTTGAGTAATTTCAACATTAAAATCCATAAGGGAAAAAATGTTCTTCATTGAAATCTTGGAGATGCTAAATTCTCAGAAATCATTTAGTAAACGTTTCATTTTTGGAATTTTATTTTAGAAATTTGAGTTCCTCATTTTCGTGCCTAAAGCACCCACTTTTACCTTCAGTTTATATCCCCCACTTGTAAGAACCTTAAATGTCACTAGTTCATTTCCTCTTTTATTACGCTATTTTGTGGCGTTTTCCAGTGACATCTTTGCATTATATATATGTACATGAGTTGTGTTCCTGTTCTTTCATGCTTCTAGCTGCTTGTGAAATATATGTTTCCCCGGGCTGAATCTGGTCTTCTTCCTCTAGTTAGCACGGCTTGGATGCAGTGGAGTAGTTCAGCTTGTCCTGTTATTTTGTTGCGACTGTCGTTCCATTCACAGGTTTTACGTGATATCGTATTCACTTCAAGTGCAATAGCTCTCAGCTAACATGTAATATGATGAAAATTTCTGACTCTTTCATTTGATTTTCTAAAGGTCAAATTATACTAAGAATTATCTAGATTTTCCTTGACATAGGAAATTGAAAAAAAACCGCTTGAGTTGATCTGGTTATTGGGACAATTGATTATGAACTGATTTCTAGAATGTATAAAAACTTTTATTCCTTAAACAGTTTTGTTCCATCTTTCGAATAATCTAGTCTCTAAATAACCTTCAATGAATTCTATTTATTCTTAGAATGAAACTAACTAATTTTCTTCTCAATATTTGAATATTCTACTTCAAAAATGTAAATAAATATAATTTCATGTTTGAATGAAGGTGGTTGTTCAAGAATTATTTGATTCTTCGAGTTAACTTGTACATACAGTCAGTCAGTGACTGACTGACTGACTGACCTCACCTCTAAACATAATAGCATTTGATTTTATGAATTAAATGAAATAAGAATCAATCAGGCCTCCATGTAATATATCAATATTACTATATTTTTTCTGGATGCATAAATTAGGTTTTCTGGAGTTGATCCAGATGGCTTCGGCTATGTAAAACAGTCGTAATCTAGCTCCTTGAGGTAGATATTTTGGAACTTGATATAAAACAAAGAAAGCTTCCTCTATTTTGATATGATGTTCACTATCTACTGAGTGAGAAAGAATGGTGCTGTTAATCAATTTGGTGACTCCTTTTCCAACTATACTGGTACATGTTCACGAACACGCAAGGATAAAGCCCTCTGAGTATGGCCTATGTAACTAGCTCCACAGGAGCAGTTGAATTGGCATATACACATGGAGGAGCCCATCTTCGGTAACTTATCCTTGATTAGTTGTGTGAGTACTGGTTTAGTCGAGAAAGTTATGTATAACTTGGCGGCATGAAACGTCCTTTCGACAGATCTTTTGAGTCGACATGTTAGGATATCACCCGCTATGTCGCCTTTAAAGTCAAGTTTCAGATATAAGGTCTTTTTTTACTGAATGTGTCGCAATGTCTTCTCTTTTTAATACTTTGTACGAGGTACTTTTTCACGAACTTATCGTGATAGCCATTATTACTTAATGTGATCTTTAGTATAACTATTTCGTCCTCCGCACTGTCTTCAGAACATAATAACTTGATTCTGTGGTTGAGACACTTAACCAAATTTATTTTATATTGTAGAGGTGTGAAGCTTTGGAAATGGGTCTACTGACCCGTCCATGTACACTTTCTAAACATATTTCGCTTTATGGAACCATCTATCCTTCTAGAGAGTAGGACCTCCAGAAAAGCTATGTTATTGTCGTTCTCCTCCTCGCTGGTGAATTTAATGGCTGAGTGGACATTATTGAAAGCGTCTAACATCTCCTGTCTGTCGATATTTTCGTCACATATGATTAATGTGTCATCTGTGTATCGACAGTAGTAATCAAGCTTATTTAGGATGTCTTTAAGCGGTCCATTTTCTAGTTTGGTCAGAAAAATATTAGCAAGGATCGGGCCTAGAGGTGATCCAATTGCTACCCCATCTACTTGTCTGAAAAATTCATTGTTAAACTATATTTCTAAATATAATTTATGTACTTTTTCATTTTTAGTTTAGATCCAATCAATGAAGAAGCTGATCCTGATCGACGCATGTTTGATCGAGGTAAATTTGAAAAATATTACTAATTACTTTTGTATTCTCAAACTAATTAATTGTCAAGCTTACTTTAAATTAGAACAATTTCTATATTCATGTGTAGATTTTCATCAGTCGTGTGAATAGTCTAGGAATTGATTCATATTCTGAATTGTTATTTGTGTATCGATTATTTATTTGGATTTTGGTAAAAGCAATAAATGAGCGTTGATTCTCAAAATAATAAATACAGTGTGGTATGTGCTACTGATGTCGATAAATATAAATAGTATGTATCATCAATCGAAAGTGAAATGTCTGATGGCAGAAGATTAAAAAGATCAAAGAAAAAAAAGGAGAACAAGGAATGATTGGTGTAGAAACGAAAGAACAACGAAGTCCGAGACAATTGATTGACACTTTGAAAATGAATTACTTAGATTTTACTAAGTGATTCTGTAATTTTGTATTCAAGTACATTTTTGGTTGTTCCTACTTGTGTTCTCGTTCACTACAGTAGTATTTAAAAAGGTAATAGTAGTCTTGTAACAGTATATGTCACATCCCATTTCAACTAATAAACATGGCTCAGTTAGAAATGTTATTCGTAAAAATACTGACGTTTCTTTTGGCTATTTATTTTGAGTTTCTCTTTTAGAATTAGTCAGAATTCCAATAAATCTCAAAATAAATGTGTGACATTTATTTAATTACTAATGTTACATAATATATTAACTTTTATAAGCAAAGATAGATAGTGGTTAGCAGTGGAATCCAGGACGTGCGTCTCGTCCTAATTGGGACTCGTCAACTGAATGTACCTGCATCTCAGAATTGGTGTTCACTCTGGGACTCAAACTCAGTACCGTTCGCTTCAAACGCCATCACGTTACCCACTTAGCTACTGAGTCCTGATAACCGCTTGCTTGTGCAATGGAGTAGAGTTTAAAATCAATTGGTGTTGTTTTGCTTGTATCTTGTTATTGGCATATATGCATACTGTGCGTATGCCTTGATATTGCCTTAATTTACAAGCTTTTATAAGCACAGATGGATAGTGGCTAGCCAATAACAGACTGGTCGACTGAAGTCTTAAACCTCACTGGGAAGATACAAGCCAAACAATACGAAGTGAATATATATTTACTTTGTTGCATAAAAATAACATTCTAATCAATAATTTCACACTTCAATGACCTTCTCTTTGAGGCATTTGTATTTCTATTTTAATAAGTGCAGTTAATTAATGGCTAGCCAATAACAGACTGGTCGACTGAAGTCTTAAACCTCACTAGGAAGATACAAGCCAAACAATACGAAGTGAATATATATTTACTTTGTTGCATAAAAATAACATTCTAATCAATAATTTCACACTTCAATGACCTTCTCTTTGAGGCATTTGTATTTCTATTTTAATAAGTGCAGTTAATTAATGAGATGATTATTAGTATCTATGACTGTAAAATAAAAAAAATGTAGACATAACCACAACATCATTTATTGTACCATGGATATAATTAAAACCAAATGACTAATATGAATATTATAATCTATGTTAATATTGTAAGTATATCATAAACTTACCTCGAATTTTGTTTACGGTTGATTTTTGAACATAAAAGATAAACAAAGAACACATGATAAAGATGATGATTTAAAAGAAGATCGAAATAGAGACAGTCATGATGATGATGATGATGATAATGATGATGATGACGATAATGATGATAGAAGTGCTGATGAAACTGATAAAATGAAAGATACAACTAGTTTAAGACGTCATTCAGAAATTAGTTCAACAAAGAAAATAAAACCAATACCAAATGCATCTTCATTTTTCATATTCAGTCCAACTAATCCGTAAGTATTTATATCTTGTTTAAATATCAAATGTCAGTATTGATTCTCAACTTGAATAGAATCAATTTCTGTTTCACCTAATTAATTATTATTTATTTATTTGAACACATAAATACTGGAAAAAGGGGGCACCAGATTCATATGCGCCACACAAGTCTCATTTGATTTGTGTGAAGGCTGTGACACTGCCCCGGGTGCCCAAACCGAAGCAGGTGTTTTTCTTAGCGGGCCATACCCGGAGCCTTCGACCTGAAGGTCTAATCCAAAAGGCGGTGAAGTAACGTAAGGAGATGCAGTCTCATGGTAACCGGTGACCAACAATTGGTTCATACGCCATTTGTTCCTTCAGGATCCTAGAGCTCATGTGCACCATTGGTCTGGAATCAGGGTTTTCTAACTCCCCTAGGTGGACTCTCCATGTGCACTAACCCGGTTAAAGCTCTGGATATTTGCCTTTCGTCCTCTCAATTTCGTAAACAACACCCCACCACGAGGAGGTAGTGGGTAGGACTTTTCTGGCAGAGGCTATATACGTGTGGCCATGTGAGAGCATTTGGAGAGAAAGAGCTGACTCTCCCCAACCAGGGCATTTGGGGGCGTTTCACCGAAACTTTAATTTGCTAATAAAAATAACACAGATATAATATTCCAAATGATTTATTAACCTATCTTAAAAGAGGTTAACTAAACCTGTATTTTGGATATTTTCATTGATAAAAATTTATATCCGTTAAATATTTTAATAAAGTACCTGGGAAAATGGAAAACAGTTTTGATGGGGAAAACAGTCTATATTGACGACATATGAGTGAAGTTGTGCTTCTCATCATTAAAATTATGTAAGAAAAACATACACATTTATTGTTAAGATAATGTGTATTTCAAAGAATTTATGTTACACGAGGCGAACAGGAGTAACTAAGTGATATATATATATATGTTTGAGATCATGAACCGGATGATGTTAGAGCATCATCAAAAACCTGGAAGCACTGTATGTTCTATTGCGGGATTCCTCAGAAGTGCGTATCCACGATCCCGCTCACGGGATTCGAACCAAGAGTCTTCGGTCTCGCGCGCGAACGCTTGACCTCTGGACAACTGTGTTAATGTCTAACCTCAATCGATCCATTAACACCGTTCGATACCGGTCCAGTGGTCTAGAAGTTAAGCGTTCGCGATCGAAACGGAAGGTCCTGAGTCCGAATCCAGTGTGCGTTTTTGTGGATGCACACTGCTCAGAAGTCGCACACTACCACGGAACGGCTGTCCAGTGCTTCCAGGTTTTCAATGATGGTCTAACATTAATCGGTTCATAATCTCAATCGAAAACCTAACAATCTCCACAACCCAATATTGACTATTTATTAATTTTTTTAGTCTACAAATTCACTTTAATTTTTAATCTATCCAGTTGTAATTACCTTCTCAATTTCCTAATACTATAATTTCTTTTTGGTACTCAACAGATTTCGTGTAGCCTGTCATGAAGTTTGCAATCACAATTATTTCAATAATATTGTACTTGTATGTATCTTAGTTAGTAGTGCTATGCTTGCAGCTGAAGATCCATTAGATGCATCATCTGCACGTAATCAGGTATTGTTTTATTAAAAAATGTGTTAAAAATTTCTGAATAGTTTAAATCATGAGTTGATTGAACCTAGACGAACATGGAAAACCTAGATGCACTAGACGGCCGTTTCGTCCGAGTATGAGACTCCTCAGCAGTGCGCATCCACAATTCCGCCCCCGCGAGATTCAAGCCCAGGACTTATCAGTCTTGCGTCAGAGCGCCTAACCACTAGACCACTGAGCCGGCCGGCATCTAACGGTGTTAATGTTTAAATTTCAACCAATTTAATTTCTAAATTTATAGAAATAATTTCTTTCCATACCAAATTTGGTTAGTAAATTTTTCTTCATCAAATGATAGTGACCTAGAGTTACTTACATACGCCTGCTACACATTGTGGACGACCATACGCCGCCCAGTGATCTAATGTAGTTTTATTAAATCCTTGTTTGAAGTTGTTATCAATTACTACTGATAACTTCCTAAGGACATTTATCAATGTATCTATACAAATGAGAAATTAAAATTAGAGGAATCTGATAGTGAAAAAAATTTATGTGATTATATATTTGAATGTTTTTGGTGGAGCTTCATTCTGTGTGTTAAATAGTTTGGTCGTGGAACTTGTATTGTTCTTTTGAACAATATCATAAGCGCAAACTTCAGGTAGAGTGAAGTGTCTGGATTACTCCATATATGACTAATGGCTTGTCTTGTTGACCTCGACCTTGATTGGTTATAGTTGACCTTCAAGCAATCATTATCTGCCTCTTTATTTTGATTACATCTTCCTCTTATTTGATTCTTGATCCTATCATTGTCTGTGAGCTTTCTTATTGTTTAATAAATTGGACTGATTTTGATGTGTTTGTTGATTATTGATTGACCACTTTATTGGTTCTGACGATCAATACATCCAAGAATGATGGCTTGTTGTTCAACACCTTTTCTATTATGAATTTTGTTATTGAAGACGTTGTTGGTCAAAGTGTAAGTCTTTTACAGATGATTCGCTCGATAATGACGAATGTGTTGTCCACATAATGTATCCACATTTTTGGTTTGATCACTGGTAAAGTTGAGCCTTCTAATCTCTGCATTATTGCTTCTGAAATGAGTCCTGATATTGGTGATCCCATTGGTGTTCCAATCGTCTGTTCGTTGGTTGTATTGTTGAGTCTTTGTACATATTGTTTATAAAAATTACTTAAGTTCATATCAAATTACAAGTGATCAGAAATTACATTATGAAGATTTACTTAAATCGTAGTTTCAACCATTTATTATAATTTATAAGTTCTGCATATAAGTTTTTTGTGACATTTTAGTTTTTTAAAAATTTCCATCATATTAAAAGCAAGTATATTTATAAATGAAGAACATTCATTGAATAAGCTGTCATCTGGTTCTACAATTATAAGCTCTAAATGCTGTTCCAAAACAAACATCATGTGCTCACTGGTGACTAGCTTCTAGAGGGAATTATCGGAGTTCTAGTGAAAGGCCATAACCAGTGGGGTTCAACTGCGTCGGTTGTCAGACACCTACCTACCGAAGACAATGAAAGATGGTCACGCAATATCTTGGATTGATTGAGTTTAGATATTAACACTGTAGGATGCCATCTTAGTGCTCTAGAGGTTCAGCGTTTTCTCACGAGATCGAAGGTTCTAAGCTTGAATCTTGTGTGCAGGATTGTGGATGTGCACTATTGAAGAGTCCTATACTAAGACGAAACGGCTTCCAGGTTTTCCATGGTGGTCTAGGTTCAATCGACTCCCGATCTCAACTATTGAAAGATCAAATCTGTCAAATGTTTTAACAAATGTTATAATGAAAACAACAATAATAATAAAAAGGTATATGAAGATAAATTTGGTGCTACAAAAATATAGAAAATAATAGCCTGTATGTACATTAGTCAATTTATATTATCTTATATTCAATATGATTAATTTATGAAGCCCAAATTTGGTACAGAAAAAAAGGCAGTTGGGTGTATCTTTTTCCGTGTAAAACTCAGGGTTTCTGATTTGAATAATTAATGCTTCTGTTACTTGAGCAATTATGAGTCCGATGGATTTAGGCAGATAAATGTTCACATAATATACTATAGTAAACGACTAATCCGTATTGATTGTATAATTTGTATGCTCAACCACTGACTGCCCCGACGTGCGATGTTTTATGGTGTGGGAGTAGGTTAGAAAAAAGCTAGAGGCGGTCAGACCAAAACATGGTACAAATCCATAAAGTCACCGACAAGTGAACTGAGTCGTGTTGGTAGATGTATACTACCTGGTTGGGATCCACCAAACGATAGCAGCCGATGGTTAGAGACCTTGGATGTGACATGGCTCGAAATCGTTTGCAATGGTGTAAGCAAGTGCATCCGCTCTTTGTGTTCTTCCAAATTCTAATCTTCTGAATTCTTCATGTCCCTTTCTTTTTTCTCTTTCCAAATTCATTTCGCTGGATTATACTCCTTGAATAAAATCTTCAAACCCTAATGTTTCCGATTACTGCTTATACTTTTACTACCTCTACTACTATCGGATTTGAATCGACAATCGTACCTCTGTGCTAATGTGGTGTGGCAACTTGAATTGATGTACGTATGTACGTTCGTTCTAGGTTGTTACTGACTGACAGACAACTGAACTATCAATTGTTTTAACTAAATCTATTTAATTTAGCATTTCTTTCTACATTCATATTATTCTACACGTTACATAATCTTGAATCAAACAATTGTTCTGATTTGTAATTACATCATCAACCTCATAATTGAAATGAATCTTGAAGTTTAAAAAATACATCATTTGTAGTTAATGTTAATATCTTTCCTTAATTTACTTGTTATTGGATGGAACGTGATTTGAAATTGGTACAATGTTTTAGGTTATCGTAGTCAGTCAATGTTCTAATATCATGATTAGTACAGATCGATTGAAATCCTTCTATTTACTCGATCAAACTTTTATCATTTCAATATAACAATAACATTGAAGTTATTATCTTATGTTGTTTTTGTTTTTTTAATTTCAGATATTGAACTACTTTGATTATTTTTTCACTTCTGTGTTTACAGTGGAGATAACTTTGAAAGTAAGTTTGACATATGGTACATATTACATTTCACTTTATAGAAAAAAAATCTCATTGGGATTGTTGATTAAATAAATTTATGCTTAATTTAAAATTGAAAGTTTTATCTTTTTTGATTGAAATCATGAGTCAAATGAAGCTAGACCACCATGGAAAACCTGGAAGCACTGGATGGCCGTTTCGTCATAGTATGAGACTCCTCATCAGTGGGCATCCATGATCCCGCCCTCCCAGGAGATTCGAACACGGGACTTATCAGTCTCGCGCCGGGCGCTTAACCAACTAGACCACTGAGCCGGCATCCAATGGTGTTAATGTCTAACCTCAACCAATCCACGAAATTGCGCTACCACCTTCCATTGTACTGAGGTAGACACCTGTTTCTACCCGACACATATTAGCTCCACTGGTCACGGCTTGTGGATCTATTAGTTCAATAAAAAAAATACATTAAGACTTTAAGTTTACTTGACTGTTAGAATGCTTCAAAGTTTTTTGTAAGTGTACACATCTTCCTTGAAAGTAATAGATACAACCTAAATGAATTACATTATTCTTAAACCTTTTTAAATCTTATTTAATGTACTTTACAGAACAAATTGATGAAGATCGTAATTTATGGTACTTTTTTCGTAGACTAGGGATTATTTATTGTTTTCGAGGATAAACTCTAATTTACTTTTTAGTATATTTAATTCCATCTACAACAATTACAGATGTTTGTTATCAGAAGGGGTTTTGTGAAGATTTTAGCAATTTTAAAAGTTGAAATCATGAGTCAGTTGAAGCTAGACCACCATGGAAAACCTGGAAGCACTGGATGACCGTAGTTTCGAATCTCGCGGTGGGGGGCGATCATGGATGCGCACTGCTGAGGAGTCCCAGACTAGGGCGAACGGCCGTCGAGTGTATCCAAATTTTTCATGGTGGTCTAGCTTCAATTGACAAATGATTTCAAGTAATTGGAATTACAGATGTGTTCTGATTGAGAGAAATATAAGTTGTGAAAATGAATATGGAATTAGATGATGGTTTTCGCTACAATGAAAAGACTGTCATGTTACTTCTTCTCTATATTTCTATCAAAATATAATGTCTCACTTTATATGTACCAACTGCATTTGGGTTTATTAGTATCTATAGTACACAGTTGATTTTATTCTGCTTACATAAATTGGGCTTTATGGCGTCTTATTGAGCCTCCAACAAGTAAGCTTTAATAATTTTCTAACCGACTTGCGTTTTTTGGCGGAATTTTGTAAGAATCATCCAAGGACAGACCGAATCGCAACACTACGAATCATCGTTGAACAATCAATTGAATGAAACTCGTCGCTATACATTAAACTCCTTGATTATGAGAAAGCATTTGACAGTGTGGATAGGAGGATTTTATGGAAACTTCTTAAACACTGTTGAATGTCTGAGAAGATCGTCAATATCATACGAAATTCATACGACGAACTACACTTCAAATTCGTGTATAACACGCATTCCAAGTGAAAACCGGAGTCAGACAAGGCTGCCTACCCTCTCCCTTTCTCTTGCTCCTGGTGTTTGACTAGATTATGAAGACCTTGACATTTAACAGAGAGCACGGAATAAAAATGACAGGTTGGAAATAACTAGACTATTTAGACTTGACAGATGACCTAGCTCTTCTATCCCATACACACCAACAAATGCAGATGAAGACAACTAGTGTAGCATCAACAGCAGCAACAGCCTCTGCATCAGCAGGTCACAACATACACATGGAAAAACCAAGATCCTCAAATACAATATGGCCCGGTTTTAATTTCAATAGAGATATTATTTTATAGATAAAGTGTGACAAAACCACTGTTCAAGATTCTATTATAACTTGGTTGTAAATAAATAATGATACAGTATATATAAATATATCTGTTAAACCTATAATTAATTCTGAAATTATTTAACTATAATATCATTAATTTTCTTTATTAGATAATTACTTATGGTTTGGTATTACATAAGGGAGCATTTTGTCGAAGCGCAAATAATATGTTAGATTTTATGGTAGTTCTTACATCAATTATTTCTTATCCAATTGAGTAAGTTCTATTGTGTATTTTTATCCCTTATCCAAAATTAAAGAGAAAATCAGTATTATCGTTACGGAGTTTATGGAGATTGTAATATTTTTAACAATTGGATTCATGAGTCGATCTAATTTACATAACCATTGAAAACTTAGAATCACTAGATGACGTTTCATTCTAGTAATGAGACTCTTCACTAATGCTCATCCATGATCCCACTTGAATTCAAGTCTTTTGGTCTCGCGCGAAAAGTAGCCGCCCAGTGATTTCAAGTTTCCAATGGTGATTTAACTTGAATCGACTCGTGAATTTAACTGTGAAAACCAGTATTGATTTTCAATCCTTTAAATATATTTACACAAGTAATTGAGACATTTATATGTAGTAAATTGAATTTCCAGAATTCTATTGTAGTAAACCATAATTTCCTAAAGTTATCTGTATATTAGTTCATATTACCATTTCTACTCGATCGATTAGTGTAATAAACTTGTAACCAGTTCATATTGCTTATAAGCACGTAGTTGGAGTTTAGACATCATATTCATCAAGGCTTTATAAATAGAACTGAATATTACAAATATACAAGGTGCTTTGTTGTGATCTAAACCGAATATTGTAAAAGTACTTGATTTCTTTGTAAAAATGTTTGAAGTATATTTAAATCGATAGAGTATATAACACATCAATTATAGTTCAGTTGAATTCATTTAGTACTTATTTACAACTCTGTCTTTAAATGTCTAAAGAGAATGTATCTATCTAAGACTTTCCAGTTATTAGTTCTTCTTTGACTGTTTTTTGAAGTTAGAATGAAAACCAGTTGGAATGTATAGAAGATCGATGGTCTTCTGGAAAATGAATATCTAATTACTTTCTTTTCCAAATTTACTTATTATTCATTGTTTGACCACTCATGTTTACTTTCATTATTTGTCATGAAGATAATATAATACAGATAGAACTGTATAATTGTTTCCACTTACTTTAAGACTACTTGACTACGATTACAAATTTCTATTCTGTTTCAACACATAGATATTGGTACAAGGAGGCACCAAATACATATGCGCCACACAGATCTCATTTGATATGTGTGAGGGCTGTGATACTGCCCCGAGTGCCCAAACCGAAGCAAGTAGTTTTCTTGGAGTGGGGGGAGACCCGGAGTCTTGGACCTAAAAGTCTGATCCAAAAAGGCAGTGGAGTGACGTAAGGAGATGCAGTCCCATCGTAACCGATGACCAGCGGTTGGTTCATACGCCATTTGTTCCTTCAAGATACTGGAGCCCATGTGCACCATTGGTTTAGAATCAGAGTTTTCCAACTCCCCTAGATGGACTATTCGTATATACCAACCCGGCTAGAGCACTGGACATTAGCTTTTCGTCCTCTCGATTTCATAAACAACACCCTCACCACGAGGAGGTAGTGAGTAGGACTTTTCTGGCAGAGGCTATATACGTGTGGCCATGTGAGAGCATTTGGAGAGGGAGAGCGGACTCTCCCCACTCTCGGCCGTACCAGGGCATTTGGGGGCACGATTACAAGTAGTCTTATCATGAAACGGACTGACAAATAGTAAATATAGGTTCATATTTTCGTATGTAATATATTTGCCAATATAGCAGTCTTATTTGTCAACATAATGTCATTTCATTGGTTTTGATTTAGAATTGAAGAATTTGTTTTAAAGTCAGATACTATTAAAACGAAATATATTATTCATATTTTGTAATGATTAGTTTAACAAAGAACTAAATCTATCTAAAGATCTCTAATAGATGTTAGTTCATAATGAAATATTATGTCATCACTAAATATTTACCAAGAAACAATTGAATTCTTTCAGTCAACAACAACGTAGAATCAGGCATATATATGCATCGGTCGAAGTTGCCATACCTCATTAGCATAACAAGATGAACACCAATTCAATGGTAGTAATATATAAAAGTAAGATTATATAGTACAGGAAAAAAGAATTAGTTTGTAGAAAGATATGAAGCTATTTTAATCTCATCGTTTAAGGGAAGATAGTGAGTGTATACGCCTACGCCATTGTGATCGATTCTGAGCCATGTCACCAAGAGTCTCCAACCACTGGTTACGATAGTCACGCGGACCCCAACCAAGTAGTCTGCATCTACCAACATAGCAAACATTTTAATAAAAACTTATTTGACATCTTAATTGACATGAAGCTATTCTGTTTTGTTTTTTTATCTTACTTAGTATTGATACAATATCTGTAGTTAAAATTCTTCGAGTCTCACGAGTATTACGACCTTTAAGAGCGATCAATAGAGCGAAAGGTTTGAAAGTAAGTTTTATAATTATACTCATATATCAATTTGAATATTATAACTTATTTCAAGAAAGGAATATATCTCTCTGATAGATCAAGTTTTAAATTATGAAATTAGATTTTAAAAATTGATCCGTCTACTGAAAATGAGTATCCAAGCACTACCATAAAAGGGAATGCAAATCAATCAGTAACTCAATCTTTAAACTCTTTGTCAACTTAGGTTACACCCTAATACGTAAATCACCATTCAGAATCCTTAACAAGGTAAAGAGAACTGGCTTAAAAAAGGTTTAGATGAAGAATTTGTACACAGTCAATGCTATAGAAATTTCATGGACTGATTGAGGTTAGACATTAACACCGTTGGATACCAGGCAGCTTAGTGGTGTAGTAGTTTGAGCGTTCACGCGCAAGGCTGAAGGCCCTGATTTCGAATCCTGCGAGCAGGATCATAGATGCGCACTTCTGTGGAGTTCCACAATAGGACGAAACGGCCGTTTAGTACTTCCATGTTTTCAAAGCTATAGCAAGTCACCATTTCAGACTCGAACTCTATGTACAAAAGAGTTATGTTCATTCTCTTATTCTCTCTCTGGTCTTAACACTCCTTTGAATTCTACAAATTGTGATGATTAATTGTTACTTTCTTCTACCCCTTCATACGATAGAAGATTGTCTCTAACTTTTATTCTATAGATTATCATTTATCATTACTTTTGTTGTGGATACAGAATAATATGCCAATCATTGTCATGTTAAGTCTATGGTGGCCTTGGACTTTAAATGTACATTCCCTATTGGCTATTATTTAATTCATTCGTTACATATTGTGTAAATGTTGTTTACTATTTTTATGGTGCGATGTGGTTTGCTTGTTTGGTATATAAATAGAGCATGTCTGAAATACAATAATTCATATCTCCGAGGCTGTGACTTGTGTTCTGGACTCAACTGACTGGGCTAGACAGGGAAGCGAGACCAATAGAGACTCTAGGCCGTCCGTACGTGTTTACGTGTCATTGAATCGATCGATAAGTACGCTGCTCTCTAATTTTCCAGTCAAAGACACAACAATTAGCACAGGGTAAAAGTCGGCCGCAACTTAAAGTCATAACAACTTTTAAAACTATTACATAATATAATCTCCTAATGATGATACGATCCTCGTTTTATTCAGTTAAATGAAACCCCTTTTGATCATCTTGACTATGTTATAAATAACACTATTTTATTTTTATTGACTTGACTATACTACTATTAGACTACTATTTAACAAAATCATTTATAAATGGAATGATACAGTTTCAGAAAATAATTGATATTTTTAAAAAAGGAACCAAAACAACAAAAAGAAACATTCTTTGCTGAATCAATGAGCTTCTTTTATTATTTCAATGTAAACAATTCAGAATGTGCATTGTTTTATATTATTGAATTTGGCACAGAATGCTCAGAAATACAATTTACACAATTAAAATATCTTAATATATTAAAAAATCAAATTGTATTATATACTTTCTTGGTTTCTTTTTCTTTAAATGGATTTTCGCAGTGTAATACCCATTACTTTAATAGTTGAGAACATAAGTCAATTGAAGTTAGACTATTATGAAAAATATCTGGAAGTATTGGACGGTCGTTTCGTCCTGATATGGGATTCTTCAGTAGTGCTCATCCATGATTCTACACCAAGGGGACTCGAACTCAAGACCTAACAGTCTAGCTTTAATTGACTCATGATCTCAACTATTGAAATTATTAGAATTACAACAATAACCCCCCATCTGATATCAATTACTTTATTTCAATCTATTGCATTTTTAATAACGTCGGAGTAACAATAACTATAACAATGTTTTAAATGGTAGTATTATGATTTATATGAAGCTGTTTCTAGAAAAAAAGTAAATAAGAGATGTTATCAAGTGATTCGACTAAGTCACCCCATAGATGTGCTTTGTGTTTAGAAAACATTTACCTTCTATTTACATCAGTATGAGAGTAACACTGTTAATTCAAGTAAGGTACTATTTCACTGTGTACATAATAGATTATATTGCAAGTATAATTCCACAATGTTTTGTTCTATCATTTATGAAAGACGAAATTTGATGTTTTGTCATCAAAAGATATAGCATATATATACGCGAATCTTTTGACCTGAAAGTGACTTAAAACTTTCGATATTTGAAAGTTCTATGATTTACTGAGTAGAATGTTATAAACATTGATTGGTGCAAGAAATACATCATTAGTTTAAACTAATCAAATATGTCGTTATTATGTTAAAAGAAAACAGCTATAGTTGTGCTTAACACCAGATTTCTTGTGACTCAGCTTCTTAGTAATCTGTTCTTGTGTGAACCCTTTTAGTTTATTATTCAAATCAGAGGTAATCTCTTATCATCGACGGATTTTGAGGTGCATATATTTTGTATCAGTGAACATAGCGCATTGTTTTTGGTGTTAGGACTAAACCCATTTACTTTCAATATAGTACTAATATGAAGACCATAGACCATAGTCGAAAAATTATTCTTTTTCCAATAAAGCTATTCCAAACGTCACAATAATACGTAGTGAATTCATTGTACTCTGAGCCTTTTTTGTCCAACCATTAACTATACGTAAACTAACAGACCATGTCAATGTTCATTTATTCAAGTCGATGAAAATTCAATGTGAACATCAATTTAAGAGACTTGAAGGTTTCGCTAGATATCTGTTGTTTGATTATTTCCTTTGTTTCTTAATGTTTACTATTTCTTATTACATAGATTGTTTGTATTCAGTTTTCTTGTTCATCATTCGATAATTTGATGATAAACAGAGCTACTCTACTTATTGGTTACATATTTCTCGTGTTTTGTAAACTCCTTTCTTCTATAACAATTTTGTTTATTTGAAATGACTATCTAGTCTAATTCTGTATAGCAACTAATCAAATATAAACAAATCTAAAATCATTGATTGATACACAACTTATCACACCTATGCTATTATAAGGTTTAAAAAATGAACTAGTTAAAAACAATATCATTGAAATCACTAACCGATCAATATTACATCACCATTGAAAGACTCAAAACACAAGACGGCCATTCCGTCCCGGTATAGGACTCCTCATTTGTTGGCATTGAAGTCCCCTCACACGGTAATCAAACCCAGAACCTTCAGTCTCGTGCGAGAACGTTCCACTTTAGACCACCCAGTTGGCATACAATGGTGTTAACGTTGAACTTCAACCAGTCCATGACATTGCGCCCACCGGTGGATAACTGCGAGTTGCTAAAGTGTTCCATACTACCATGAAACACCCATATAGCTCTGACAGGTTTTAAATGGTGGTCTAACTCGAAGTGGTTCGTGATTTTAATGAAATTCAACAACCTCTAAACACCATGCTGACTGAAGGGATTTCCTCGCTGAAGAGATTTTTTTAATGATTTAATAAATATTTAAACTGTAGTTATACTGTAAATAAATTTCACTTGTCATCCTTTATTTTTTTTTTTTTTTTGAATTCAACAGCATGTCGTCCAATGTGTTGTAGTTGCTGTAAAAAGTATTGGTAAAATAATGATGGTTACTTTTTTGCTTGAATTTATGTTTGCTGTTATTGGTGTACAATTATTCGCTGGAAAATTTCACTCTTGTACAGATAGTTCACGTCTTGTACCAAGTCAATGTCAGTAAGTGAATATAATGATAAGTAGTGAAACATTCAATTAAGAAGATAATAACACTTTTATAATCACTTTATTCAATACTATATTTGATTACAGTTAAGAATTCTCATATCTAATACGTTTCATATGTCAGTATTCTAAAAAATCAGCAATGATTTTGTACTATTTTAATGCAACTGAAAATATTTCTGATAAGCTGATGAAATCTCTTTTTTCATTGCATAATATACTTACTTACTTACGCCTGTTACTCCTCGTGAAGGAACATAGGCCGACCACCAACATTCTCCATCCAGTCCTGTCCTGGGCAATCCTTTTCAGCTATTTCCAGTTGTGTTATTCATCCTTTTCAGATCTGATTCTATTTCCCAACGTAATGTGTTCTTTGGCTTTCCACTTTTCCGCTTTCCTTTAGGATTAAAAGTTAGGGCTTGTCTTGTGGTGCAGTTTGGTGATTTGCGTAATATATGTCCTATCCATTTCCATCGTCTTATCCTAATTTCCTCTTCGGTTGGAAGCTGGTTTGTTCTCTCCCACAGAAGGCTGTTGCTGATGGGATCCGGCCAAAGGATGTTGAGTATCTTGCGAAGACAACTGTTTATAAATACTTGTACATTCTTGATGATAGTCGTATTAGTCCTCCAAATTTCAGCTCCGTACAGTAGAACTGTCTTAACGTTCGCATTGAAGATTCTGACTTTGATATTGGTTGACAGTTGTCTTGAGTTCCATATCTTCTTCAATTGTAGGAATAATAATATAATTACTGAATAGATTTCATGGTATTCTACGATCGTTTCTGTAAAGAACAAATAAGGAAGAAAATATACTAATCACTGTAGTGCGTATTATTGAGCTTTTTAGTTTCGCGATAGTTTGTAGACACTTTATTTATCCATAATAAATGTACTGAAATAGACAGAAAACATGCGATTTTATGCCACTTAGTATAGTTTAGGCAGAAGTTCAAACAGGTCACAGGTATTTGTCAATATAATGTGAAAACCATGTTTCAAGGTGATCTTTTTTGTCTCATCAGTTACAGACTATAGCCAGTGATCTAAAAGTCTTGTTATTTGAATTCTAATTACCTACTTCAGTTAAAGATAGCTATTATTATAAGGAAAGATGAATGGTAGGTAATAGGGGGTTTGAGTCCCTGAGTGAATACCAACTCTTGGATTCAGGTACATCCAGCTGACGACTCTAAAATAGTGCAAAACTCTACTGTCAACCGCCATCTATATCTGCCGATAATCCTTGTAACTTTAGGCAAATATCGAGGCAATCCGCACAAGACGCACATGTGTCTAAAGAGACTGACAATTACAATCTTAAACATCAATAGAAAAGATTCAGATGACGAATTTAAAATGCGCTAACTATTACTATGTTTATATAGGTCATCAGTTATATATTCAAGCAATTAAATATTGTAAGAGTAGTGATAGTTCCTTTTTTTTTAATAATCTATTTGTTTCTATATATTCATTTCATAATAGTTTCCATATAAATAAAGTAAATTGTTATGTTAATCAACTTGGTGACTTGTAGGCTATATAACAAATACTAAAGTGTCACATGTACTAGTTTAAGTTAATCGTTCATAAGTGAGTTAGAAACAAAATAAAAGTATTGAATTACGACAAATGTTCAATGAAAACTCTGGAGATTTTAGAAAATTTCAATTGTTGAAATCATGAGTCGATTGAATCTAGACCAGCATGGAAAACCTGGATACACTCGACGGCCGTTTCGTCCTATCGTCGGACTCCTCAGCAGTTCACATTCACGATCCCGACCCATGGGACTCGAAACCAGGACCTATCAGTCTCGAGCGCGAGCACTTAACCATTAGATCACTGAACTGGCCTGCATCCAACGGTGTTAATTTCTAACTTCAACTAATTCACAAAATTGAGCTACCGTCCATCATTGTCTTCAATGAGCTGATATCTCACAACAAACCTAGTTGAACTCCACTGGTCACGGAGGAGTCCCATACTAGGACGAAACGGCTGTCCAGTGCTTCCTGGTTTTCCATGGTGGTCTAGCTTTTTAATTGACGCATGATTTCAACTATAAATGAACATGATTAACTGAAAATTCTAAAAGCGACCATTCATGATTAAAGTTATTTCTGTGCTATTTTCTTTGAAATTTATGAAAGATAAGAATTTAATATTGTAATACGTCTACATATGTTGTCATATGAAAATGCTAATTACATGTTAAAATATATAAAGAAGATATTTTGGACACCAGAATCATTCATTAGTTCGATAAGAATTTGCAAACCATACATTTTTGTTCATTTTGTATTCTTTGTTTGAATCTTCCCACTAATGTTTAGAATTATAATTGATCAGTCTCTTATTGGTATACGTGCATCCTGTTAAAACTGCCTCAATATTACGTTGTCACAAGCATTATGAGCAAAGGTGAACAGTAGCTAGCAGTTGAATCAAGGACACACGTTTTGTCCTATTTCAGACTCGTCGGCTAGATGAACCTGCATCATAGTGTTGATGTTCACTAGGAGACTCTAACCCAGTATCGTTCACTTCATCTCATTGCACAAATCAGTGGCTATCAAGATTCAATAGGTAAGTGGTGTTTGAAGCGAACGGTACTGGGTTCGAGTCTCGTAGTGAACATTGACTCTCTGATGCAGTACATCCAGCTGACAAGTATCAAATAGGATGAAACGAGCGTTCTGGATTCTACTGTTAACCATCATCCACCTTTGCTTATACATTTGTGGTTTTGGAAATTTACCACAAATCGATTTCAAAGGTGTTGTCGATAACAGAAGCGTAATTTGAAAATCCATTAATTTTTCCAGCGGTATCATTTACATATTGAATTATTAGTTGCGAATACCAATGTGTACTTCTTCATATTAAGTTTATTAATAACGCATTTTGGTTTGTTTAAAAGCAAAACTTGAACCATACATTCTTAAGTCATGTATTTCAATAACAAATTGTACTCCATCCACCTTAGTAAAACTAAACAGACATTATAATTTGTTACGTTTACTGCAGTAAACGATAAATAGTATCTGCCTGTTTTCAAATAACTGGATGTTTTTAAGGGTGTCCTATTATTTGAGCTGGTTGCTTTAATTGTGAATCTTTCATTGTCTTTCTCAACAACATCATCAGCACACAATTCAAGAAGAAATGATTCATAGGGATTTTTATGCAGTTAATTAGCTTCTTGCTCTGTTAACCTTGAACTTGCTTGTTTATTGTCCATAAGTGTGTGTGTGGCCGTTGTTTGTATATTTGTTTTTGATCTAATCTCTCTGACCTTACAGTTGCTTATCATTTTCCCTATTGATTGGTAGATTTAGTCAATTCCGATATGTTCATTAATTGATGCGTTACCAAAGTGAAAAGCTTCTTTCTTAATGTTTTCTCTGTCTAATATTTCGATGTTTTCCCATTCAACACATATTCACAGTTGCTCATGTCCTTTGATATCAGTCAAACTATGTTGTGGCGTTTAACTGGTAGTTGATGTGCATGTCAACGTGAACAGAGTGGGCAGACATTTTGTTACAGTTGTTGCAATTGATTTTGTAGATAACGTTTGGTTTATCACAATTTGTCTTCCTGTCCATCGTGCTGCATAATACTCATTATAAAAATGTGGGCTTGGGAATTACACACAGTCTTCGCGATTTTAATAATCTGTTTGTGATCTCATAGATGGACGGTAGGACTTAAGGCTTGATTATTTTAATGGTTCTTTTTGATTGATGAACGGTTTTATAAACATCTGCTGATGAAGTTTTGGATAATCCACTTTTTTAAAATACATCCATTAGGTATTATCTCTTGTTTTTCCATACAATAGCTGTACTGCAATGTATCTTCATTCTTTTAGACGAAGTTTGTATGCAACGTAATTCGAGGGTTGTTGTGTCGTTGGTGTTGTATTAGTATTTTAACAGTATAGGTCAATTTTCTTGTATTCTTGAATCACTAGTTTTCCTGTGTTGGTCCTAATGATAAACAGAGCAAAAAATGGTTGTTTGTTATCTTATTCTACCTCCAATGTTAATTTTTTACAATCACAGATGCTGTTGATAAAATTGTAAATCTTTCTAGTCTATGTATTTTGACGATGATGAACTTATCGTCTACATATCGTAGACAAATTCCTAGTTTAATCATCGAAAGGACTAACTTTTTCAGCCACTTCATTACTGCATCCACAATTTATCTGGAAACCAGTGATCACACTGGAATTCCATATATGTATATATAATTGGCCGCTGATTTGGAAATATATTGTCAAACATAACTCAGTGAGATTAACCGAGTTTTTACTTTGAGATTTGGTGTGTTTTGAGAGGTTCATATAATTGATTATGAGCAGGGATATTGTAGTTCTTGCTAAATTTTGTTCGACAAAGTTGAATAAAGTTTTGACATCAAATGATATCATCGGTTCGTCATTGGCGATTTGGACACTTTCGATCTTATCTAAAAACTGTGTTGAAAACTTGGCAAAATAACCATTTGAGTCTACCAGATGTTTTAATATCTTTGATAATCCTCATGATCGGTTGTATGTAGATGTCACTGAAAGTGTGGCTGTTATAATTCTCTCTTATTACGGCCAAGCTATTCTTGTTGCTTAGTATTCTTGGACACCAATTCACTCGATAAGTCCCCCAATCAGAACACAGTTGAACAGGAAAGAGATTATATTCCAAATAACAAGGTTAGATGGAAGTAAGCAGAAGCACAATGGGAAAAACGTTAGTATATTTATAGTTTTTACGTGAGACGATTCTAGAGTGTTTCCCCAAGTATCGACTAGCGCTGATTGGATAAGAATTGGCCAATCGGCGTGCGTCAAAGCAATCGTGCACTGAGCATGCTTTAATCCAATCTATGTCCCACTAACAGTGATGATTGGTCTTTTGATGATGTTTGACTTGTTTAATTTCCATCTGCTATAAAACTGATGAAATACAGGTCTGTTTGGCTTCGTTCACCATTGATACTGTTTTATTATCTAGTCAGCTTTGACAAGTTTGTTTAGTCCTACTGGTTTAGATATCTAGTTTTTGAATAGGATTAATTTTCAGTGGTTGACATAAATCTTGGTAATTAAATAGATCCTCGACTTTCTGATTTCAGTCTTCTGACACGTTCTCTCTGTTATCTTCTTTGTCAACCAGAATTGTGATTGTGTTCTTCCTTATATTCACTTTCTTCAAAGCTCTTCGTTCTTTTATCATAATCTGAGAGTACACTTTTTTTCCGTCTATGTTCGATATCGAAACAATCCTTATAAGCATAAACAACTGCCACACACTCAACAACATTCACCAAACTAATTCAAAGTCAATAGAACAAGAAGCTATTCGACTGTGCATAAATCCATATGAATCATTTCTTCTTGAAAAGTATACTGATGATTTTCTTAAGAAAAACAATGAAAGCTTAACACTTCAGAGAATACAACATCTTCATGATCCTCATCCTGAGATACTAATATTCCCTATGATCATCATTGAACGTTGCTTTTTGTTTAAAATAGGAAAACATACATGTTTTTAACCTTAGAAACTGTCAACGATGTTTTGTTTCATAATATATGTTATTTCATCTCTTATTAGTAATGCATCTTTTTATATTTAAATTTTATCTAGTGGTCAATATATCACATATGAATTGGGTGATATAAGTCGACCTGTAGTTTTAGCACGTGTATGGTTAAATAATCCATTGAATTTTGACAATGTACCAAATGCTATGCTCACTTTATTTGCTGTATCAACATTTGAAGGTTGGCCTGGTCTTTTATATAGGTAATGTTTTATTGTTTATTCAATTATTACTACGATTTGGTTTTACATATAATACAATACAAGATTGATTGTTTGTTAACTTAGAAACTAAAGGATTCAAGTGACATAGAGAATTTATAATAGTCGGTGAATTGGAATTTAGGTTAAAATAAATTCCACAGATTGAAATCATGAGTCAATTGAAAATAGACCACTATGGAAAACCTAGAAGCACTGGACGGCCGTTTCGTTCTAGTACAGGACTCCTCAGCAATGCGCATCCACGATCCCGCACCACGCGGGATTTGAAACCAGGACCTATTAGTTCGCGCCAAGCACTTAACCAACTAGACCACTGAACTGGCTTGCATCCAACGGTGTTAATTTCTAACTTTAACCAATCCACGAAGTTGCGCCACCGTATACCATTGTCTTCAGTGAGCTGATATCTCACAACAGATCTGGTTGAACTCCACTGGTAACGGGTTCCCACTAGAACTCCAGGAGTATCTCTTGAAGTCAGTCATTAGTGAGCAGATGATTATTATCCAAAGAGGTTTGTGAAATTCCTAAAATCTCCACAAACCCTTTCTGATAAAATAAATTCATTATGTGAATTGTGGACTAATATGATTCTCTTTTTTGAAGATTGTATTTTAGTTCAATGCTTAGTAGCAGAAGCGTATTCTATCAATTCTTTGTACAGTTATTAGTTAGTCAGTTAAACTACAATAATACATATCTAAGCTTAATGTTACATTGTAATGTCGAGTGCTATGTCAAACCCACTTGGCTTGTTTTATCTTCTGGATAGGCCAATTTATCCATTCTTATTGAGTCACATTTTGACCGGCGAGATTATAATTTATGGACGAACCAATCAGGTATAAGATAACAGGTTCGGATTTTGGCGGGAAATTCACTCATCCATCTGGCCAAGTAGCGTCTTGTCATTTTAGCTGATGTCAGTTTATGATGAAAAACCATAAATCTAATTTTTAACCCTAACTATCAACTGTGAATCATAATCCTTATTCTTCAGACTTCTTTATAATCCTCATTTAGCCCTAGTAAGTAGGTAGACACTCACAAGGTCACTTTGGCGTGGCTCAAAAGTCGTCCATAAATTATAGTCCCATGTTCTACTCATCACGTCTGTATCTTTTTTTTAACTGACGCTTAGTGAAAGTGGATATGCTCACATGCCTTCTACGTTTCCTTTCACTTTGCTCTCTACTCTCTCTCTCTCTCACTCGCTTCCCTCTATGCTGTTTTCTGCGTTGCTTGGGGACTTTATTAGTTATTGGCAATAGACTATACTTACAACTGGTGTTCTGGCTTTTGAATAGTCTCAAGTAAATTCATAATACCAATACGAGATTCAGTATATGTAAATATTCAGTTAACAGGATGTTATTTATTGGAGTCAGATATAGAGGAGTATAGATTTGTATATTTATTACAATGATTAATCTGCTTTTTATTTCGTTTTTGTTGTTGAATAAATCAACCTGAAACAGGCGACTAAAGTTACCACTTCAATAAACTTAATTCATGCAGAAAAACACCAAGTAGTATTGTCGTGAACAAGAACACGAGTGAGGACAATCGAATATATTGGACACGAAATTACAGAGCATCTCAATAAAATCTGAGAACCATATAGTAAATAGTTAATTTGCAAAATATCTATCCATCGTCTCAATCTTGACTGTTCCTTTTGTAAATATCATAGCCATGGTCTCAGATTTCATTGTTCCTGTATTTTCATACTAATTGCGTTCCGTTCCCGTTCTTTCCTTATCGATCTTCTACTGAGATACATTCTATACCTGACCACCGTTGACTTGACAACCATGTCTAAAAATTTCAATGTTTTGATCACTCTTACTACTACATGATATGTGAGCCAAGCACATGATGAAAAGTATAATCAGAACATTGTTTACAAAAGTTATTCTCTTACATACTTCGTGAGATGTTTGCTTTTTAGCAAAATCTACAAATTCTTAAAGTTCACAATCATAAAATGATTTTCTAGGGTCCATTTTTGAGATGTTCCGTAAGGTTTTGATCCAGACCATTTAATTTTGTATTATCGTATATAATACTGTTATGATAAAGCTAGAAACTCAGCTTCATAACATGAGTCTTTTTAGCGTTACTAAGTATTTATTTTTGTCTTTTAAGAGAGTAATTAGTTTCTTATCAAGAGCGGCTTGCAAAGAAACCTCTAAAAGATTTCCGATATGGGTGTGTTATTTTAAGGAAATTCATTACAAAATCAGACATTGTGAAGTCCTGATGTATGTTGACTGAGTGAAGGTAAACTGCGAAATTAAAAAAATCTAGGGTCATAATCAATAGAGCTTATGTTCTGATATGACGCGTATAACTTGAGCACTTGAACGCTAGAAACCTTCCAAGTCTCAAATGAGAAGAAAGAAGACAAATGAAAGGAATGTTATTCTAGACAGTGTCAAATTATAGTACAAAACTGTCAGGTACTTATAGTTTTTAGTAAAAACTAATTCATCATTATAGCTATCCAAACCGCACACAGGGGGTTAATAGCAATGTCCAGTCGGGAAGCTACACGTAGAGATTCTAGAATATCCTTCCAAAAGATGATTTGATGGAATATCTTTGGCTCTTTCTGAGCTTCTTACAGCTTCTTCGAGTTCACCCGTGGATCGTACTCACACTAGTTAGTACCCCTTAGTCACTAATTAGTATTTTGCAGTTAGTCAGTCGTGTTCTGTTACGGTATGAGGGCTGGTGTCACTTCCCGGCTGCCCACACCATGGAAGGGTATTTCTTGAGGAACCCGAAAAGGAAGTTGGATTAATGTTGGCCTTAACGACCTCGGAGCGTGACTGCAGAGCCCAAGGGACAACTGCTTGAGGCCGGTCGCGCACGGCGTTTATGTTGGAGGTTTTTGACGTGTTAGCTCCGTTCTTCAAAGGGCCTTACCGCCGGAGACGGAAACCCGTGAGGTAAAGTGAGGTGTGACATTTTTAGAGTCGACCTTTTCTAACCTCTCCCTTCCTTGTGAGAAGGCAGCATCGCTGCAGATGCTGGTTGTCCGAGGGAAACACCTTACTGCTGTCACACCCCTTTACAGTCAGCAGTACGACTTCGCCCTCAGACTTTGAGTTGCTTGACTGAAATCAATGTTATCTGCAGTTTTTATAAAGCAAAATACAATGACAGACCTTTCAAATTTTAATCGTTTGCAAATTTACATTAATAATCATACATTAAGTACCATGAGCAGTTAGATGCCTAACACCCGACATTGTGATCTTAACATTAGATCTAAAGTGTTTATTTAAGATCATTGTTATAATCGTGCGTGAATTCATCGTGATTAGTTATGAAATTAGAATATGACACGTACCTCATGTCGAAAAGCATAAAGTAGTTCTTTCAGCTTAAATCAATCAACTATAAAAGGTATTTTAAGATGAAACTCATTTTCCATAAAGCTACTTACATTGATTCTTTCGGTTGAATAATAAGATGTTTGATGAAATTAATTCACATGTAGTGATTACTCTCACGATCGATTAATAAGGTTAAAGATGAACTTTTCATAGATTACTTATATACTGATCACAGTGGTTAAGTGACTAAGTAACGTTTTATTCTAGTGTATAAATGTAATAATGTATTTGATCATCTTTCTTTAAAAATTATGTCTGATCAAAGTACAATCTATGACAAAGTTAGTTATGCGACAAAGCAATACTCTTTTGAAAAAAAAGTATTACAATTAGGAAGAGTATTATTTTAGGCTAACTCTTGAGACTTTCGACAATATGACAGATAAACTATCATCATATATTGATTGTATTATATTAAAAAACTTTAAATGTTTGGGTAGAATTCGAAATCTTAAAACATATATGTACCTGTTACTCCTCGAGGAGTGGCATAGACCATCCACTAGCACTCTTCATTCAACCCTGTCCTGGGCAATCCTTCCTTTCCAGTTGTTTCCAATTTCTAATCATCTTTTTGTATATCTGCTTCTATTTCCCAACGTAATGTGTTCTATGGCTTTCCTCTCTTCCGCTTCCCTTTAGGATTCAGTGTTAGGGTTTATCTCATGATGTAGTTTAGTGATTTCCGTAATTTATGTCCTATCCACTCCTAACATCTTTTTCTCAGTTCATCAGCTGGAAGCTGGTTTGTCCTCTCCCACCATAAACTGTTGCTGATGCTTTTCCAATGATATAATTTAGATTACTTTTATAAATCATGAGACTTTAATAGTAATAATTTATCTTACGGTATTCTTATTTTTTTTCAAATTCAAACCAAGGAATGTTGTTTAAAATGCAAGTTTAATAGCTAACAATATTCTCTGCGCTATTACTTGTTCAATATATAAGAAAGACAGTTATATATTGTCGATCTACCTATTTCGTATGTAAATTACATTCACCTATATGATTATGGAATGTCGGTAAGATTATAATTTATGAACAGCCTATGAGCAACACCAAACGGACCTTGAAAGTGTACACCTAATAACTAGGACAAAATGAAGCTTATAAACCAGTGTGAAGAATTATAATTATAATTTACAGTTGATGGTTAATGGTTAGAAATTACATTTGGGGGGTTTTCATCACGAACTGACATCAGATATAATGCCAAAACTCTATTTAACCAAATGAATCAATGAATTTCGCGCCAAAAATTTAAGACCTTTTATCTTTAATCATCTGATTACTTTTACTTACTTACTTTACTTATGCCTGTTACTCCTAATAAAGCATAGGACACCGACCAGCATTCTCTAACCCACTTTGTCCTGAGCCTTCTTTTCTAGTTCCATCCAATTCTTGTTCATTTTTCTCATGTCTATCTCCATTTCCCGGCGTAATACGTTTTTTCGCCTTCCTCTCCTTCTTTGGTCTTGAGAATTCCATGTAAGGGCTTGTCTTGTGACGCCTGGAGTCCTTTCGGGGGCTACTGCCGGCCCCAAGCCCGGATAAAGAAGAAGGGTTGGACACTGGGTTAGCGACCCCATCCCGTAGAAAACTAACTCGCTAAAAAAAACGCTAACGACAAAAAAATTATTCAACCATCTGATTAGTTCATTCATAAATTATAGTTTCGTCGGAAGTTATTCAACATTTATTAATCTATATGGTAATAAAATGATAAGAAACTATTCATAGATTCATTAATAAGTTTCTAGTTCTAGTTATTTTAGTAATCAAGTCATTTCCATTATTAAATATTCATTCATTATATGTTATTGATCTGTTTATTTCATTCTATTAGATCAATTGACTCTTATGCTGAAGATTATGGTAGTGTTTATAATAATCGTCCAATAGTTGTTATCTTCTATGTGGCTTATATCATTGTCATAGCATTTTTTATGATTAATATATTTGTTGGTTTTGTTATTGTCACATTTCAACAAGAAGGTGAACAAGAATATAGAAATTGTGAACTTGATAAAAATCAAGTAAGTTTTATTATTTTATTTTGTTTTTTTTAGAATAAATTGTTTTGGTGATCGATATTTTCGACCTCTGTTATCGTATGTTGAATGGTACCAGAATATTATCATTGCTAAGAGTCTCGTAGAGTATGATCGGCTTATGTCTTTCACTCTATTTCGTGACCATTTTATCTATCTGTTGTTCTGATTGAGGTTCTTCAGTTTGTGACATAAAACATTAATCTCTTTTTATCACACATTGATTCTTTCATCTACTCTGATGTTATGCCTGGATCTCATGGACGGTATTTGTGGAAGGTCTATTGTGTCATTATTTAAAGACAAAAACAATGATAATAATTGATGGTACAATTCATAACATAGAACGTACTTACTAAGTTGCATCAATATATCAATTGTTTATGAAAGATCGTTATTTATTATGAGTATTACCGTTACGTTCAATAATGTTTGTGATATAAGGTATGTGTAATTAAAATAGTGATATAATAAATCCACAACTATGATTATAATTCAGATAATAATCCGAATGGAGACAAAGTGAATGATTTTTGGAATTAGATTATATCGTCGAAAATTGTTTCGTGTTCACACGTTGGGATCACTAATTCTCTAGTGGCTTTGCTTCGTTAATCGATCATCTCGACAACCGTTATAATATAAATTCTCAACGGTGTTTAAAATGAGAAGGAAATAAGAATCGGCTACTATAGTTTATTAGCGGATAGCTCAGATCACAAAGCTATAAGCATATCGAGTGAATTTGAAGCGAAGAGGCGAACAAATGTATACGAGCAAATAAATAGGTAAATTTACATTCGAATTGCATAAGGGCGCAGCAAGGCAAAGCAAAGGTTAATGATTGGATTTGAGTACATACATACATGGGGGGGGATGAATGGTCGAGTGATATTTAAGCAATCAACTTTTTATCTCGAGTCTGTCATGTGCTCTAGTTGATCATATGCGAATTGTCACTATTCAATAAAATTGTCTGTAAAGTAAGTTAATAAAAGATTTAACCAAAATTACCCATAATCGAAATTGGTTGTAGCATAGTTGCTATACTTTGATTTGTTATTAAAAATGTGCTGTGTTTGATCACAGAATGAAAAAACTACCTGTATGTCACAAAAATACGACAATAAATGATCCGTTTACTTTCTTGAATGGTTAAAGCTATCTAGAATATAAAAAATGTTACTCAATGTGATAGTCAATGAAACAATATTACTGATTAGTGTATGTGTTTTAAGCAGAGGTGGTTGGTGGCTGGTTGTGAATAACACGATGGAGTTTCAAGCGAACTGTACTGAGTTTGATTTTCGAAGTAAACATCTACCCGGATGCAGGTAAATGCAGATGGTGAAACGTGGAACTTGTATTCTACTACCAGCCACTAGCCATTTCCGCTCATAACGCTTGTGACAAAAGGCAATATCGAGGCAATCCGTTTTACATGCGCACATGTCAGTGAAGATTGACCAAAACATTAATGGGAAGATTTATACAGCCAAGACAAAGATAAATATTCAAAGATGGATAATGGCTAGCAGTGGAATCCAGTTTGATGTGCATCACTTCGTCCTATTTGGGACTCATACTGCACCTCGGAGTTGATGTTCACTCTGGGACTCCAGCGCATTCCCGTTCGCTTCAAATTCCTTCGCGTTGTCCACTTAGCTACTGAGTCAACTCTGAGATACAGGTACCTCCAGCTGACTAGTCCCAAATACGACGAAATGCTCGTCCTGGATTTCACTGCTAGCCACTATCCATCTTGGCTTATAGAGCTTGTGACTGAAGGCAATATCGAGGCTAACTGGTTATATTTTGTCATACTGAGACACACACAAAAAAAAATAATTTATTCAAGGTCTCACCCAACTAGTTATGTAATCAGTACATAGTGCCTATTGATATTTTGTGTTTTTGGTTATCTTCATCTTCTTTTGTTTAGTTTTTTTTCAATCACCATTGTAATTCACCTAAACATAGACACAAATATCAACTAACATTTTATGTCTTATAAGAGTATGTCTTACTTTTCTAATGATTTCTTATACTTCTTTGTTTATAAATTGAGTATGTGTGCTTAAGCATATATATATATATATAGTTTGGTTAATAAGACTAATAAGCTTATAGAATAACTAATGACTGCACAAATGGATGCATGTTGCATTATGTCAATCTACCTATAAATAAAGGTGATAGGTTTCTTATAATCTAATCATAGAAGAAGAATAATAATAAAAAAGAAACATACCAAATTGTCATAAACAAAAAACCAATCAGATTGTGCAAGAACCACATTGTTCGATCATTTCAAATCATAACAATAATAAGCCATGATTAGTTATTTGAAATGAAGTATATCATCTTGAATTGACTATGGAATGTTTATTATTACCATTAATATTATTATCAATTAGACTTACAATTATCCATGTAAGTTAATTCAGTTCTATACTCAACATCCATTCATTATAATTAGATCCAATAGAATTAGATCCTATTAAAAAGCATAATTCATCCAAATCAATAAAGGATCATTATTCATAATAATGGAATGGATTCAACTAATGATCTTATTACAATTCCTATTATTATTATTATTATCAGGATATAATAATCATCTTAATAATTCATTATTAATTCCAAAAATTTCATTAAAATCAATTAAAATTCCTTTAAATGATTATTTCCTAAAATATTACAAATCTTCTTTAATATCATCATTCTTATCCCCATCATCATCACCCTTGAAGGATCATCCATCCAATAATGTTTGTTTATTATTACATTTACCTAATATAAAATCGATTAATCAATCTCAAATCAATTTAACAAAAATCTATATAAAATCCAATCATATTTTAGATCTTAATAATAATAATAATAATAATATATGGGCTATTTTACAATTAGATCATTCACATTCATATTCATCATTATTTGTAACATTAAAATATTTAAATCAATCTTTTGATCATTATTCTATTCAATATCCATTATATCAATGGAAAGATTATATATATATATTTATGTTAACAATAATCAATAATGGGGATATTGGGGATAGTAATATTGATTATCAACTATTTAGTGAATTATCCACTTCTATGTATCCATCTTGTTTATTAAATAATAATCATTTTAATGATTTATCAAAATTATGTATTTCATTAATTCATTGTAATGATCATTTCATTGAAAATATTCAACAGATTAATTCTATTCATAATGTTGTATTAAGACGTATAAGACGTGATATATCATCATCATCATCGACATCATCATTGAATGTTTCAAATAGTAGTACAACAATGAATGAAGAAATGAAACCTGGACTTAGTCCAGGTTTATTAGCTGTTATAATTATTATACCAATCTTAATTATTATTGGATTAATTATAGGTGGTTATTATTTATATCGTTGGTTAAAAAAACGTCGTGCATCTCATGGGATATATCAACCAAATTATATGGAAAATGAATCTAATATTATAAAACAACAACCTGAACCACATACCATAGTGAAAATACCTAATGAAGAAAGATTAATCTAAATATAATTAAAGGATTCGATTCATTTAATACTTTTTTTTTGTATTATTTTCATTTGTATTATGTAGTATACTTGTTTCTATGGTTTGTTTTATTCAAATTGTATAAATGAAATATATAAAATATATATTCTCTCTATTAAAATTCTTATTCCTTTTTCTCCCTTTTCTCCCTCTCTCTCCCTACACATATATATCCATCTATCTATATATATTTAGCGTAAATGTATTGAATTTGCATTGAAAGCTAGACCAGTGAAACGTTATATCCCAAAAGAAAATTTTCAATATAGAATATGGTGGTTTATTACATCACAACCATTTGAATATTGCATTTTTATATTTATATTAATTAATACAATATCATTAGCAATGAAAGTGAGCTACACCCCTTTTTTAGTTTTTCTCTTTTGTTTTTTTTTTCTTTTTATTGATTATTTCATGATTGTTTATTTGTTTATTGAATTAATTAATGAATTAATTATTGTTTCATTATTCATTAATTGGGATACATTAATGATGATGTTGATGTTTGATATATAAATGAATAAGCAATGAAATCATTATAGGAAAGTATTATATCTTATAATTATATATACATATATTCTATCTGTTTCTATGTGTGTTATTGATAATATCGTTCATGTATAACATGATTATCAAAAAGGGGTTTTGTGAAGATTTTAGAAATTTCACTGGTTGAAATCATGAGTCAATAGAAGCTAGACCATCATGAAAAACTTGGATGTTTCACTGGATGGCCGTTTCGTTCTACGATAGGACTCTTTAGGAGTGGGGATTCACGATCCTGCCCGCCTCCCGCGAGATTCAAACCCACGATCTATCAATCTCACGTGTAAACGCTTAACCATTAGATCACTGAGCTGGCCGACATCCAATGGTGTTAACATCTAACTTCAACCAATACTTGTGGATGCGCACTGCTGAGGAGTCTCATACTAGGCCGAAACAACCGTCCCGTGCTTCCAGATTTTTCATGGAGGTTAAGCTTCAATTGACTCATGATTTCAACTAGAAAGCAGTAGGAAGATACAAGTAAAACAACACCAAGTGAATTCTATCTTTTATGACTACTTTATTTTACTTTATGTTCAAATGAATTCCCATTGTGTATATTATCAGTTGTTTGATAAGCTCTGATCGTTTATATCAAATAGAAGTATGAGTGTTATTGAAACTTCAAATCTACTTATATAATAAGTATCCATATATTTGTTGAAATGATTATAGTATTTTTATTCCTTAAATCAAAATGTAATTACATTTGTACGCCTGATATCAATGATTAAATACATTGGAAATTATCGCTATTAAAGGGTTTTTGTCGATATTATGGTAATCTCAATAGTTGAGATCGTGAGTAAATTGAAGCTAGACCACCATGAAAAACTTGAAAGCCACTGGACGGTCGTTTTGTTCTATTGTGAGACTCCTCACCAGTACGCATTCTGATATTAATCAACATATGCTCACTAGTAATTGGTTCCAAGAGATATTTCCTGGGGTACTAGTGGGAAGTAGTGTCCAGTAGAGTTCAAGCGAGTCTGTTGTGAGAAAGTAACTCACTGGTGAAAATGGTGGATGTGTCGCTCAATTTCGTGGATTGGATAAAGTTAGACATTAATACTATTGGGTGTCGGCCAGCTCAGTAGTTAGAAGTTGAGCGCTCGCGCGTGAGACTGATAGGTTCTGGTTTCGAATCTCGCGACGCGGGTATCGTAGATGCGCATTGCTGAGGGTTCCGACAATAAGTCGAAACGGCGTCTAGTGCTTCCAGGTTTTCCATGGTGGTCTAGCTTCAATTAACTCATGATCTCAACCATTGAAGTTATCGTTATATCTTACAAACGTTCATAACTTATTCAACGGACGAAAATAGTTAGTATTAGTTTTACTAAGAAGTATTATAAACTGAGTTCATAAGCGATTTTGATTTATGATCGAATTATGATCAATATTTTAATGGTCAACTTAACTGTTTAATCTTCCAATATGAGTCGTGAATTATTGAACTCATTATTCATTATTATAAGATTATGTATTGAAACTGTATAAGTTTGTAAAAATTGTGATAATCTGTTACTTTAATCTGGAACTATTGATCATAGTTATTCTAAACTATCTTTTTGAACTGTTTATATTGCTGTTTATATGCTAGTGAATCAATGATATTAACTTTCAATCTGATAATCATTAGTTATATCTGAAGTGAATGTTTTCAATATCAAAACTAATTGTTCATTTGAGATTTGTTGATTGATGTCCTAATAGATTTGCAAATTAAATCAAGATATCAGATGGGTTTTGTGGAGATTATAGTAATTTCAATGGTTAAGATCATGAGTCAGTTGAAGCTAGACCAACATGGAAAACCTGGAAGCACTGAACGGCCGTTTCGTCTTAGTATGGGACTCCTCAGAAGTGAGCGTCTACGATCGCGCCTCCCGCCGCTCATGAAATTCAAACCCAGGACCTACTGGTTTCGAGCGCGAACACTTAACCACTAGACCACTGAGTAGGCATCCAATGGTGTTAATGTTTAACATCAACTAATCCATGAATTTGAGCGACACCATCCACCATTGTCTTCAGTGAGTTACTATCTCACAACAGATCTGGTTGAACTCCATTGGTCACTATTTCTCACTAGAACTCCAGGATATACCTCGTGAAGCCAGTCACTAGTGAGCATATGTTGATTAATATTAGTTGGGTTTTTTGGAGATTATAGCCTGAACAAATAGTATATAATTGAAATGTCTTAGTTAGATAATCTTATCAATATATATGAAGAAACATTTTACTGATAATCACACCATTTACCAATGAGTCTGAAATTTGATACAATTGTTCAATGAATAAGAATTTTTGTCTTAATTTGATCGAATAGTTTCACAGTATCTGAGAGTTGAGTTAATGTGAAACATTAAAGAGGAAGAATGTTGTATTTGTGAAAATCTCAACGAATAAATTTGAAGTAAATCTAACCTTTTGCCTGGCAATTTGGTTCAAGTTTTTTCAAGGAAAATATAATCAAACATCAAATTTATCGAATATAAATAAGTACATGATTCTCTGGTTCACTGTATGATTAAATAGATCATTCAATCAATGTTAACAATGTTTAATGTAAATATTTGCATTAGTGTATAATGAGACATGTGGTCGTGTAACGAAACATGTATCGATGAAACATCAAGGCAACTGAATGTGAGGTGAAGGACTACCAACTATGCTTAAAGCACGTTCCTAAATCTTCAGTTGATGTAAGAAAACTCAAGAACGAATCAGCAATAGCACTTAATAAAATCGGGTCATACAATTGATGGCACAAGAATCTTTAAAAAAGGCTTTAATTCTTACATAGAGAGACTAACAGCCGATTCATCAGTATAGATAGACATTACATAGGATGTTACACAAATTCATGTACTTCTGATCTCATGATCATGCTACTGGTTTCATGAAGTTTGTTTTAAAGTGAATCGTAAAAATTTCACTCATAGAAATTAATCATGTCAATAATTCTATTCATCATTATTGTAAAACTCATTTGATTTGTAAATTTTTTGTATTTACCATTGAGGATATTCATTGTCTACCTCGTAATTTCAATCTTTTCTAAATATCAGAAGGATTTTTTTGTTGAGGAGTCTCATATTAGGACGAAACCTTCGTTCAGTGATTTCAAGTTTTCAATGCTGGTCTAATTTCAATTGACTCATAATCTCAACTATTGAAATTTTCTAAACATGTTTGATAAATTATCATCTACTTTATAAAATCTTATGTAAATATAAAGGACTGAACTATTATCATTTGATACAAATACTAAATTCTTATTTACATAGTAACTATCAATATTTCCTGGTAAAGGTGCTACGAGTACTAACATACGATAATAAGATAATATTATTCATAAGAAGGGCCTAAATAAATGGTTGTTCTGTTTCTCAGAAGAGGGTATCGGCCTCGTGACTTCCGAAGGAAGTCGGCTTTCATCATGAGGCATCATAACTTTTCTAAATGAAGACCTTCTGACTCACTGGACAGAGTTTAAATGGTATGAATCATTTTTTCTGGTTAGCGTTTTTTATCGAGTCAGTTTTTTACGGGATGGAGTCTCTAACACCATATCCAACCCTCCTCCATTATCGAGCTTGGGACCGGCAGTAGCCCCCGGAGGGACTCCAAGTGGAGTTATTTTAGCAATTGTCATTGTTAGGTGTTTTATGTAATTCACTTAAAGTTCTGACAAACGTTAATTAACCGGTTATATCAATTATGTTTTGTTTACATTTATGACACGTTATGTCATAAATGTCATAATCTCCAGAACATTCATGAAGTAAAAGGCACAATATGCAGAAATTGAACGAAGTATAAAATAGGTAACTTTAAGTTCCTATTATGTCATTGTACCCTATGTATTTGATATGATGGAAAGAAAAGCCAATCTTAGATTAATTTACTAATTATGAGTTTTGGTTCAACATTACTTCTGTTCTGATTCAACATGAGGATCATTCAGTGTAGTATTCGTTTTTGTTTCCTCGTATGATCTTTTTATTCTCTATAATATACGATATTCTTGTATTCCATTGATATGAACTATGCTCTGTATGTGATTTGTTATAACTGAGTATGTGATTTCATTCTAATTATTAATCAAATTGGGTTTACAATCAATATGTAAATGAGTGTATTTTCGACTAGGGTCGTCGTCGTCATAGTGTTTTGGGGCTAATAAATCTTCACTTATACCAGTCTTTGTGTTCTTACTTTCGCGTCGTGGGAATTGCCGAGGTCCCTTCCTTCCGAGTATAAGTGATTAGCGTTTTCCGACACAACAATCAGCGACGACCAGATATAAAAATATTCTGACAGAAACTTCTAGAAACCAAAAAAGAAAAAAAAACCAGTCTACTGAATAAATTATAAATTCATTTCACTATATTTGAATTATTCTCTTATCTGTAATTCTGCATCGATTTTAATGTTAAAATGAAAACATTTGCAGTTAGTTCAACTTGCCAATATTCATATTTATTGTTCATTGTTTGTGTCCGATTCCTGTCATACTATTTCGTTTAAATATTGAAGAATATTCATATATATATGAATCATTTAATCCAGCTGACGAGTCTTAAATAGAACAAGACATGCGTCCTGGATTCCACCGTTAGTCAAGGTCCATCTTTATTGATGGTGCTCTCCCTCTTGAAATGCTCTCACATGGACACGCGTATACAGCCACTGTCATGCAAGTCCTACTCACTACCCTTCCGCGGTGAGGGTGTTGTTTAAGAAATTAAGAGGAGGAAAAGAGAATGTCTGGGGCTTTAATCGAGTTGATG